TCATGCGATCAAGAACGCATAAATAGAGCCTCAACGGCTATCTCTTTTGTAATAATACAAGGCACTTGAACAACCTTCTCCACAGCGCATCACATTTGCTTATTTCTATTCTGAAGCGTTCTCATTGGAGGTTGCTAAGGCTGATCTTCAGGGACGGGGCAGGAAAGCCCGGTGACGCAATACGAGCGCGTGAAAGCACTATGCCGGAAAAGGCGCGACTTGAGCTGGCGGACAAGCATTTGTAGGATCTCGCTCACGTCGGAATCATTGGCATGCTTTGCAGCGAGGGTTCCTTCAAAGGTATCATCAGTCGACAATTACGCTGCGCAAAGCTGAACCACATTGGCACTCCCATCACCATGCACACGCTCTGCTTTCTCTTAATTGTTCAGTCTTGCTAAATAGTCTAGCGTCGCCGTGACAGGCTCTGGCGTCCGCGCTCGACGGCAGCTGTCATTCGCTGAGGGGGTCCCCAGCTGAGCCCTCTGGGTGATGTGACTGGTCGGGACGACCTGCATCACTGGAGAAGCTACTACGAAGGTAGCCTAAGGTATCCGCAATGACTGAGAGTGAGCCTATTAGGCCCGCACTTTGCGCGGCCTGTACCTGCGGACTGCAGTGCTGCACTGACCTGCCCTCGGAGTAGGCGTGTGCCTAACGACACTAAGCATTTCCCCCCCGCGCATCATGCTTCTGCCTCTGCCCACCCCCTTCCGACAGCTCGAATCGAGACATTCGACTAATTAGCACCGCTTTTCGCCAATACGCCAGGCAAGGTGCGCATTTATCACGCCCTTTTACACCTCCAGCCCGCTGTGCTCACAATTCCCGTCCTCGGATTCTCAAGCTGCAGATAATTTTGCCGGCTTCTCTCGCTTCAACCCACGTCACGTCGCAACGAGACCAACGACTACAAACAAGAGAGCTCCCATCGTCAATCCCAGGGCCTCCAGCACAAAGGAAGGATACGGGTACGGGTCGTCTCAGCGTTTCTCGGGATCTGTTCTTGCGCCTCACGCTCAACGTCCACCATCATACCACCCCAGTGGACAGACAGACAGCAAGCAGCGTCACGCTACGCTGCATCGCAGATTCCCCTAGCCAAACATCGAGCTTTCCAATCTGCCGCTTGAAACCCAGCATCCACTGTACTGTACCCTGAGTGTGCACGGAAACAGCTGCTGCTTGTGCTGTAAGTGCGTGCGTCCCCACGAAAGCCTGCTAGGTTAGCCCGTGGCCAGAGAGCAGCACTACCTCATCGCCGCCATCGATCGATCCCACTTCACAGGCTCACACCATCAACGCCTATCCCAACCCCGTCCTGGTCCCTACCGTCTGCATCCTACCGTGGCCTAATCACCATCTGTGTGCCCTACAGCAGTTGCGTTTCTCCTCCTCCTTCACTCTCAGCACTCATCTCATCCTCGGTAATCCTCCTCACCCACCGTCCTGGGATCCAACGTTAGCATTCGCGACATACAACGGCGTCCGAAATCCACAACCAGAGTCGGCTGTTCATATTTCGTTCGCTTGCTTCAACAATATTCGAACCTCTTTGGAACAGTGCGCTGTGATATCGTACCCCCGACCCGCGATCTTCGGCACCTGTCCCACCTGCCCGGGCCAAAACACACTTCTTATCGCTCACTTTTCAAGCCTCACAATATCACCTTGGCTTGCCGTTACTGCGTGATCGCCAGACCGCCTTGGGACTCAATCTACACCTCTTGGAACCTCCAACCAAGCTTTGGCGACGTGATCCTTGCCCAGCCAGGATCAGCACGCGGCCAGTTTTCACCTCGTCTTCGCATTCCTCACCAAAGACAAATCTCACGCCATAACCACAAGGACCGACTAACGCCGGCACCTCAGTCCTTGGGAGTACCAAACGACCGTCAGCCGACTGCTAGCCAACCGTCGGTCGTCACATGTTGGCTTCAGCTTCCTTTCGGAACCACATCTAACCTCCTCACGCTCTTTCCACCAGAAGGAGCCCATATCACGGGCTTCGCACACAGTCTGGATGGCTCACGAGCTTGATGCGACGTTCAGAGAGCTGGGGATTTCCCAGTACCTGAACGCTTTCGTGGACCAGGGGTTTGACACATGGGATACTATCCTCGATATCCAGGAGTCGGATCTGTGAGTGTGACGCTCGACTTGCGATGCCACTATGCTGACTCTCGCTGCAGTGATGCTCTGGGCGTAAAACTAGGCCATCGAAGGGTACGCTTTTGACTTGCAAGTGACGTGGAATCAACAGCTAACAGTATCAAGAAACTTCAACGTCGCATCGCCAACGCTCGCGGCCTTGCTCCCAGCATATCCTTGTCCAACAAGCAGAACACAGAGGATGGCAAGAGAGAAGGTTCACGCGCGGCATGCAACCGGAGCGAGCCTGGTGCAGATGGATCTACCGCCGTCAAGCGCAAATATCGCCGGCACCCAAAGGTATGCTACCCTTACACCAATGACAACACATTCAGCTGACGCCGCTAGCCTGACGAGAATGCACCTGAGCGGCCACCATCTGCCTACGTGCTCTTCTCCAACAAAATGAGGGACGACCTCAAGGGCCACAACCTGACCTTCACAGAAATTGCCAAGCTGGTCGGCGAGAACTGGCAAAGCCTCCCACCCCACGAGAAGGAGGCTTATGAGAGCCAAGCCAACGCTGCCAAGGAGAAGTACCACCGCGACCTGGCCCAGTACAAGAAAACACCAGAGTACCGAAAATACCAAGTGTATCTGCAAGACTTCAAGGACAAGCAAGCCAAGCAGAGTCGAGGTAAACACCCGCTTGCCTCCTGCATCTCCTCTTCGAGGTGCTGATACGTTGTAGATGCGAACAAGCGATCGAGGGTAGAGCCAACGAGGCTCCGCCACGGCAGTACGAGCAGCAGCGCTGCAACGGGGACCACCATTTCGAGCAACAGCGGCATCAGCACGAGGGACAGCAGGAGTAGCAGCGAGCGCATGAACGGGAGCGAGCCGCCACCGACGCGGCAGGAGAGGGTGAACTCGTTGGGTTCCATGTCGCATAACGGGCACGAGATACAGCCGTCGCCCAGGACCGCCAACTTCGATTTCAACACCCCCAACGGGCGGAACGGAGGTCGCCAGAACCTCCCCTCGCTCTCAGACATGCTGGAAGATGGACAGACAGCGGTATTGCCGGCACCAGGAAGTGGGAGTGGCTACACGACATCCGGCTTTGTGCCTGCGAATGGCCGACGTCCTATGCCAGAAGGACATCGAGTGCCTTTATTGCGTCACCACCAATCGTCGACAGACAGCAGTGGTTCCGCCGGATCAACCAGCTCAATGAGCAGTTATGGGCGCGCGGCGGGTGACGGCTCTCTACCTATTCACGCACTTTTGTCCAACCGATCGGGTGCTGCGCCCCCGCCCATGCCCGACCACAACTCGTCGCCTACCTTCAGCACCGCGTCGAGCCCGACCTATGCAGCGGGACCTCGAGGGTACGGTATGTCAATGACCCACCATGGTGCCTCGAATCTTTCTCATACTAACACCGCGACGGCAGGGTTTCAATCCGCGCCGTCTGCGCTCCAACACTTGAAGATTGAGGAAGCCAATGGTGGTGATGTCGTGATGACCTCGCCGACGCTTCCTGGCGTTGTCCCCAAAGGTCCTGCAAAGGACAATCTCGACGGGATGAGCGCTCTTCTCCGGGCGGGCGAAATCGTTGGACGCAGGACATCCGACTAAATGTCCATATTCACGACTACACACACCATGGCACGCGCGAGCGGACCTGATTTGTCTCCTATGCGCAGCATACGAGGGCATTGTATTTCCCGGGGGGGATGATTGTTGTTGTGGTTGCGCGCCCGTGGTGTTCAACACGCAGCACGATACTGCATTATGTTTTTTTTGATAAAAGAGGGTTGGAAGGGAGGCGAATCTGCAAGCATGATTGAACAAAAGCTTGGCATATGGCGTTTTAAGGGCATACACATATATACGGAGGCGTTCAGGAAATTTTGCAATTTAGGGGGGGTGGCTCACACTCTTGTCTTGACGACAGATGACGAACTTTGGGGGAGTCTTGGTCCAGCATTGGTACATGATGATTTCTTCTTTTTGGATTGCGTCGTTCAAGGGAGTGGGAATATATGTACGTCAAAGGACGGATGAGTACCTGTTGTACATTTGCTTTTGCTTTGCTCCTCCTCAGACTTTCTTCTCCCTGTTCGCAACGAGAGAGTAAAAGAGTAATACATAGTCTACGGGGGATGAGAATCCAAAAATGGAAACGTTGAACGAGCTGAGCCGCAACGTGCTGAGCTACATAGAACACAATGACCACGCCGGCCATATCGTGCACTTTGTCGCTCTACAGGTATCACCACGAGTTGAAAGTGTCTTCGAAGTTAGAAGTTAGACCTGCAGATATCGCGTGTGGTGAAGAGGTTGACGTCATGGCGCAGCGCCACGACGCCGCAGCCGCAGATCCAATTCCAGGGCAAGCAAAGGACCCACATCCACGCGATACTAGCTTATTCATGAATTGAACTTGTTGAAGCTATCGATACTCCGTATGCGGAACCCAAACACTAATTAATTAATTAACACAATGCATGTGTGGGTGTGCAAACGGACACTAGCATAGTTCAACAGTCGGGAGCAGTCGAGCAGCGAATTCGATATTCATGGCACACTTCTTGTGGTATAAACCACTGTCCTCTTCCCATCAAAACACGCCTTGCCACCCAATAACCTAGGACGGAGTCACAGCTCGACCAACCCAGCCATAGTATGTCTCTTGTGCGTATGTACGTGTAATTATACCAGGCCCCCCGAGTCATACAGTTCGTTCATCACATCATTCCAAACGCGTGCAGTTCCAACTCCTCATCACACTCTTCGCCTGCTCAATGATCAGCTTCCGACACCTCTGCCGTCCAGTCTTTGCGAATGGTCAGCTCTCTCAAGTCTGGCGTCTTCTCAATCACGAGGCCCTTTTCGTTGGCCAGATGCAGAAGCGAGATGAAGCAGAACGATGTGGAGATGTCGGCCATCTTCTCCTTGTCATATGCAGACTGCAAGCCATTCATGACATTGGTGAATTTGAGTGTTGGGTCATCCCCAGTCGAGGAGGGTTCTGACCCGTCTTGCGCTGGCGGTTGCCTGTTTGCGGGAGGTTCCTAGACCTTGTCAGCTTCATCCCCCGATAAAAGTGTGTGCGGCTGATCGTTACTCACCTGAAGTTTGTCAAAGGCCATGCCGCGCCATATCTCCTCCTTCAGCCGTCGTACGTCTACCTTTTTGGCTACGCGCGCAAAGTTGACATATTCTGGTCGCACTCTTCTTGTTGATGTGATGAGATGTGTGCCGTACGCTCCATTAGCCGCGTTCGTCGTATCCCCTCCCAGGAGAGCAGTGATGCCCATGCCCTGTGTCATGCCCAAATCACCCTCAGGCGAGAAGTGCTCCCTGGCATCGGCAAACTCCAGGTCCTCATCATCAAGATCGTCGCCTCCCGCAAAGGGCATCGCGTCATCTTGGAAGAAGTTGGCGTCGTAGTCGCCCGTCGGTATCGCCGCCAGGTCATCTTGAGGCGCATTCTGCCGCGCCCAGAACGCCTCGTCCATGTCACCCGCTTGCGCAGCATCTTCATGCGCATGACCGAAGCCAGCTTTGCTGCCGCCGAAACCCAGTCTCTTGCGACCAATACGTGCTTTGGGCTTGAGGAACAGACTGAGCAGTGATTTCGAGCTGAAGTGTTTGTCGTCGGGGAGGAGATTCCTTGATTTTGATTTCCAGTCCTTCTTGGGCATGCTGATAGTCGCATTGGACGAGGCCTGTGTGTAGAGTAGATCGTAAGTGTTGGCGTCGAATGGCGCCGCAAAATCGATCTCGAACGGCTCCTTCTCCTTCCGCTTCTTGGTCTCGGTAGCTGGCTTGTCTCCATCTTTGATCTTGCGAATTCTCCAGTGTTCGGCACTCGACCAATTCTTCTGGAGCGCTTGGTCGAAGAAGCTCAGAATGTCGTCCTGCATGCGCTCGTCTTTACGGCCCTTGGGCATGGTAACGGCGAAATCCGCATTGTCATCGAACCCGTCACATTCGCCATCCTCACCGCCAAAGCCAGCGTTGAAGGGGCGCATCTGCGGCTCCAGGTTGGCTTCCCGAGCCCAGGCTTGACCGCCCTCGCCAAACGACACGTCGCCGCCAATGTCGAAGCTGCCCAGTCCCAGATCATCATCGTCGAACGCGTTGTCGCCCTCAATGACCATGCCGGACTCGTCGCCAAAAGCACCAGGCGTCTTCTCCTTCTCCTGGTCTTTCCAGTCATCGAGAGCATTGAGAAAGGGGATGTCGGTGGTGCCTGACGGATTCCCAAGATCAAAGGTTTTCAGGGAAGGGCACACGTCGAGCTCATCCAGCCGGCTGAGGTCGGGGAAGAATCGCTGGCGGATAGCATTCAAATCGATCTCGACATTGGCTTCGTCGTCGTCTTCATCCAACTCGGGAACCTCCACGTCCTGGCCGAGGTCCATCTTTGACACGTGCAACGACTCGTGTTCGGCTTGCGTTTGATCCCCCATGTCTTCGTCGTCTTGCTCCCCGTCCTTCCTTCCAATGGCGGCCTCATCCACCGAGTCGTCGCTGCTGTCGAATACAATGCGACCCTGCGAGTCGATCATGAGGTGATTGAGCAGCAGTCCTTTCGCACCACCCTCGTCGAAATCGGCAGATGCCTTCTTGAAGAGCGGGTCGACTGAGAACTCCAGTTCGAACTTCTTCAACTGTATTGAGGCAAACGAGGGCGCGAGTGTGGCTTCGGAACGTGTCGACTGTCGAATCTGTTAGCACACTGTACCAGATGGTCTTGGGTCCTCCATCCAGACCAACCTTCTTCTTGGGCTTCTTCTTCGGATTTCCGTCCTCATCCAGGTCATCCTCGTCTTCGTCCTCGCCTTCAGCTTCCGCGCCATCGTGGTCCTTTTTCTTGTTGCTGCCGCTGTCTGCCAGGCCGCTCAGCAGCTTGCCCGTCTCTGTCGCAACGCTGTCGATTCGGTTGGTGTAGATCTTCACGCAGCCGTCGAGCGTGCAGCTGGCCTTTTGAAAGTTGACGCCGTCGCCTTCCTTCAGCAAGGACATGTCGTGGAAGTAGTCAATGAGCGCAAAGTTCCAGGAGTTGGTCGCGTTGATCTTGTTGTCCGTCGCCATCTTCATCCACTCCTCAAAGTTGGCCAGGATAGGTACCCGCTTCATAGGCGTGACCCCAGAGCCCACGACCATGGCATCGTCATCGTCCTCCAGTAGCGGTGGTCGCCGCGATCCCCGCGGGGTCCTGGGGTCGGACCCTGGGGATGCATTCTCGCGGTCCTCCAGTCTGACGCTGCTCTTGCGCGGCGTAGATGCCGCTGCTCTAATCTCGTTGTATTGTCGCTCGTGGAGGGCCTTGCGCGAGTTCATTCGTTGGCCTCGTTCTTGCGCATCGTCATTGAGGGGTATCCTGCTCGTTGAGTAGCGGTCAGCACGACAGGAATCCCAAGCGCATTTCACGGTGACTGTATACGCAAAGCATGATATGATTCACGTACTTGATGGGCGATTTGAATGGCGAGGCCGCTGAGCCAGACGTCGACTTGACGTTGCCAGCACGGGGCACTTGGGCGACTCGAGGCATGCTTAGTGCGGGAGGAAGGGTAGGGTAAGAGACCCCTTTGATATTATTGTTTGTGTTCGATGTGTTTCGTGATGCGGAGCCCGGCCGCAGGGAATCGCTCGTGCACCACAGCAGGCGCTGCTGGCAGGAATGCAGTTGTGGACTGGTTTGCTGCAGCGACTGGGGGCCGGTGGGCAGCGCGCGTCGTCACGGTCTGGTAGGGGAGCGGCGTTGCGCGGGACTGGAAAGTAAACAAAAATAAAGCCAAACCTTGCTTACCCTACGGCAAAGGGGGCTCTACGGAGAGATTGAGTGCAATCACGCGTCAAGCTCAAACTTTATTCCGCCCGTACCTATTCTGGACTAGCTTCGGGCAGCATGTGGCGGTCGACGCGCCACACACGGAATGAGGGGGTGCTGCGCTTATCACTGTGGCGCAGTCGCTGCTTCGCAAGCCACGTTGTGCACCTGAACAGGCTAGCACCATTGATGAAGAATGACGATGATGAGAGAGCTCTCATTTCACTCAGCCACTCCTTCAAACACGTCCAGCAGGTTTTGCCCGGAAAATCCTCGACAACTTATTATATATCGTAGAGCAATCAACACCCACGCGATGATCTAGAGTCTCTCGACTCACTCCCTCCTACCCAGGCGCCCTGCATGGCCGGTACAATGAAGACAGCAAGGCTGAGAGGGGCTAACCCCAGCGCGCGGCCTTTCTATCTGACGATCTTCCTCATCTGCCTCTTCGCTGCGTACTCTTTCCTGGTGCATATATATCGCGGTGATGTGATTGATGGGCATGATGGAAGCCAACACGATGCGGCAGCGCTCGGCAAGCGCAGTGGGAAGCCCGAATGCATCGATGTGCACCAGGCCAAGGACAAGTGCGCGTTTGTGAAAGAGGTCTGTACGGATGCCGATGCTGGACTCATCCCGTATCTGCAGTTCTACTATTGCGGCATGCCACACGCCCAGGGCATCTCCTTCATCATCCTCCTGGCCTGGCTTGGTTTACTCTTCACGACCATCGGCATCGCAGCCAGCGACTTCTTCAGCATCAACCTGAGCACCATTGCGACAATCCTGGGATTGAGCGAGAGCTTGGCCGGTGTGACGTTCCTGGCCTTTGGAAATGGATCGCCTGACGTTTTCAGCACCTTTGCCGCCATGAACTCCAACAGCGCCAGCATGGCCGTTGGCGAGCTCATTGGCGCGGCTAGCTTCATCACCGGTGTCGTGGCAGGCTCAATGGCGCTCGTGCGGGAGTTCAAGGTGGACAAGCGGACCTATGCCCGCGACATCTGCTTCTTCATTGTGGCTGTCGCGTTCACCATGGTGTTTTTGGCCGATGGCCACCTGCGGTTTTTTGAGTGTTGGATCATGATCGGCTACTATGTCGTCTACGTTGTCACGGTCGTCGCGCAGCATTGGTACCAGGAGCGAAGAAAGCGACGATTGCGACGCGAGGGCGAAGCACGAAGTCACGTTTACGGTAGCGTTGGCGCGTATGCCGATGAGCTCGCTGGTGAGCCGTACCGCGACGATGTAGACGATGTCGGCGACGCGGATGCTGACCACCGCGCTTCCGCATCCGCCATGGCTGCTCTCGAGCATGGACCGAGGATCGAGGTCGAAGGGCGTCCGGCACCGAATGATAGTGATCTCGACGAGGAGTCTGATGAAGAGCACAACCGACAGATTGCCGTCGAAGTCGCAAGCAGCATGAGAGTGCTTCGCACAAGGGGGAAGCGAAGCAACACCATCAACCCCATCCGGCCCAGTCTAGTGGGTGCTCTGGAGTTTAGATCGGCATTGGCCCAACTGCAGAAGGAGAGCAACCTGAAGCTATCCACCATGCATGGACAGGGCCGCAGTCTTTCTGAGGCACACCTCCCAAGCCGGGGTCGACGACGAACAACGACAGATGCGCCAACCGACATGAGCAAAGCCACGCCGCTTACTGCTGCGCAGCAAAGCAAAGACCACCACGGACGAGGTAGGGCCTTGTCCTCCGGGAATGCGCCTACCTATATGACTCTACCTCCAGAGTTGCTCGCGTCCAGCGGGCCTGCCCGACCACCCCAAACTGATACAAGCACCGGTGGCAGCAGCCAACGTAGTGCGAGTCCAACACCTTCTTTAGGAACGTATACGATTGGCGGCAACCTGGCACCTCCTCCTGCCGGTCTCGGGCCCCCATCAACAGGCTCAGTGAGCCCGTTTAGCGGCGCACCAGCAGCGGCACCGACGACGCCGGGGGGTTTGCATCTACAAATCCCCAGTCGACGTAGCAGCCAGAGCGGCGGCTCGTCGCCAGCCTCCCCGTTTCCCATGTACACAGATTCGCCTGCTGTCCTCACGCCGCACCCGCACATGGAACACGGGGGCTTCATGCTGCCTGCGCCCGTGCAACGTGAGGCGTCGTTCCCGGGCTGGCAAACGCCCGCCTCGGCACCGCGTCCAGTCCGATGGTGGCCGTACTCAGCACTCCCGCCACCCCACGTTCTGCTGGCGACGCTGTTCCCGACACTGCAGGGTTGGAGGGAAAAGACGATATGGGACAAGATTGTCAGCTTGATCTCCGTGCCCAGCATTTTCTTGCTGGTAATCACTCTACCCGTCGTGGAGAGCGAAACCTCTGAGGACGAGTCGGAGATTGGCCAGGCTGTAGATATGCCTCACAGCCATTGCTCTATTGTCGGTCACGTTGCGCCCTCAGTGTCCGTGGAGCCCCAGGCGATCGAACATGAAACAGAGTGGCAGCGATATCGAAGGCATACCCTGGTCAGGAAAGACAGCTACCACTCGACCCCAAGCTCAGCACCAACGACTCCGTTGCCCCAAGAGGAAACAGACGCGACCCGGCAAACCGTGCCAAATGGTACTACCTACATGGATGGCCCGTCGCCCCAGGCACCCCAAGTGGTCTCTCAAGCGCCGTCTAGTATTCATGCAAACGACGAGACTATGTCGTGGAATAGGTGGCTTGTCTGCCTGCAGCTCTTCACGGGCCCTCTCTTCAGCGTGTTTGTGCTCTGGGCCAACCTACTCGAGGACTTTGAGAGACCAGGCAAGGCGCTGCTCACCATGGTGCTTTACACGCTCCTCGTGTCGACCATAATTCTGGGTGTCCTGTTGCTGTTCACCAGTGAGCACCGGAAACCCAAGTACCACTACTTCCTCTGCTTTCTGGGCTTCATCATCAGCATTGCGTGGATCTCGACTATAGCGGGGGAAGTCGTTGGCGTGTTGAAGACATTTGGTGTCGTACTGGACATATCAGAAGCCTTGTTAGGCCTGACCATTTTCGCGGCTGGCAACAGCGTGGGCGACTTGATTGCGAACATCACCGTGGCGCGCCTGGGATATCCCGTGATGGCGCTGTAAGTTTTCTTGCTCCGAGTTGGGCGCAACATGTGCTAACATTCTAACAGATCCGCCTGCTTTGGCGGCCCCATGCTCAACATCTTGCTTGGGATCGGCATCGGGGGTGTGATCATGATGGTTCAGAAGGCCAACAAGAAGCAGAAGAAACACCCGGGAAAGCTGGTCAAGTACGGGCCCTACCCAATCCAGGTAGGCGGCACCCTCATGGTCTCAGCGATCACGCTCCTTGTCATCCTCGTGGGTCTGCTCATCGCGGTGCCCATGAACAAGTGGGTGCTGAGTCGCAAGATTGGGTGGATCTTGATTGCGCTTTGGTGCGTTAGCACCGTGGTCAACGTGATCGTTGAACTGACAGGCGTCTGGGGTGATGTGGCATGAGAACGTGCTCTGTAGATTCGTATTTTTATATATCAAAGTGTACATAGCGTTGCTGGTGCTGCTTCGACAGCAGTCAATGAATGAGTCCAGTCTGTATGACCGTGAACACGAAGCGGGATGATGCAGGGCCAGGCAGCAAGCAGCTCCCGGACCCCTACCCCACCTTGAGAGGGGCAGGCACGGTGAACACAGCTCCTGCCCCGCGCGCGTCAGCTCCTAGTGAGTCGGTCTAGTCCGTCCCTCCAGCTCACCTTCACATCCTCACTCGGCAGCCACAATCTCTATTTGTCTCCCAGAGTCTGGCGAAGCAACCGGGACTTTCACTCTTTCAGTACTGAATCGAGTTCTTCGTCATCATGTCCGTCGCGCCCACCTTCCCTCCGCTCGACGCCCGTCCGTACAAGGACACCATCTGTCTCTTCGATGTCGACGGACCCCTGACTCCAGCTCGTCGGGTATGGCTTCACCTCCCCTTGCCCCCTACCTTGCCCTGCCCTTCGCTACCTTGTGAGGAAGAAATACGTTCTAACCCAGTTTTTCGTCACAGGAAGCTTCGCCCGAAACCCTCGCTCTCCTCGCCGCCCTCCGCCAGAAATGCGCCATTGGCTTCGTCGGCGGCTCCAACCTCGTCAAGCAGGAGGAGCAGCTCGGCAAGCCCGCCGGCGTCCCCGTCACGACCCTCTTTGACTTTTGCTTCTCCGAGAACGGCCTCACGGCGTACAAGCTCGGCCAGGAGCTCGAGTCGACCAGCTTCATCCAATGGCTCGGCGAGGACCGGTGGAAGGAGCTCGCCAACTTCTGCCTGCACTACATTGCCGACCTGGACATCCCCGTCAAGAGGGGCACCTTTATCGAATTCCGCAACGGCATGGTGAACGTGAGCCCCGTGGGCAGGAACGCGTCGAACGAGGAGCGCCTGGCTTTCAACGAGTACGACAACGAGCACAAGGTCCGCGAGAAGTTTGTCGCGGTGCTCAAGGAGAAGTTTGGACATTTTGGCTTGACGTGAGTGACTATGGCTTCCAACAGCCCGCCCCCTCCTGTTCTCTTACCTAGCCCCTTGGCTGTTTGGTCACGTTCGCCCTGCTAATCTATCACCACACAGCTTTGCCATTGGCGGCCAGATCTCCTTTGACGTATTCCCAAACGGCTGGGACAAGACCTACTGCCTCCGCCACCTCGAGGCCGACGCGAAGAAGGGCGGCATCGAATACAAGACCATCCACTTCTTCGGCGACAAGACGAGCCCTGGAGGAAATGACTACGAGCTCTACGAGGACCCGCGCACCACGGGGCACACCGTGACCGACCCGCAGGATACCATTCGGCAGGTCAAGGAGATCTTTACCGATCTGTAAAATGGAGATGATACCCGCCGGATAGAAAACCCAGACACAGTAGGCTAAGAGCAACGCCACAATCAATTCACGAAGACATGATGCCATGAAATTTGCATTGATTTTGCGCCACAATGCGTTGCATATTGTCTAGAAGAGTGTATGTGATGTATCCAAAATGAAGATGAATCGCTACATGCGGTGAGAATGCCGTGCAGAGAATGAACAAGAATCGGACCTCTACCGTCCAAACTCGAGATGGGGTATAATGACAGGCCCGTACTTGGTAGGCGCAGTATAGGCACCATCGCCCTGCACCACAAAGTCGACGGCCAGGCTGAGCTTGGACTGCCCCTGCTGGCCGCTGCCAGCCAAGCTGGGATTCGGGCTAAAGGGAACTTGGTTCTGCTGCTGTGCCGCGTCCTGATCAAAGGCGACAAAGGCGGCGTAGTTCCTCCGGCCGATGAGCTTCTTGAGCTCGCGAGCAGTACCGCTTGCATCGTTGTGGAAGATCTCCATCATGTCCTCCTTGGTATCCGTGACCTCGTGGGTCGACTTTTGCCCATTCGTCGGCACGTAGAGCGTCTTCTGGTTGTGGAGCATCTTGAGGACGTAGTTGCTTTGAGGGGCGGCTACGATGGGCGAGGTGATGACTTGATACATTGTCTTGTGATCACCTGGATGCGTGGGGTCGTGGACCAGACCAGCGCCAGCAGCGTTGACATCTGCAACGTGATTAGTACAAGTGCGTAACAGGCAGGGGGGCGAAGCTCACCTCCGGACAGGAATGTCATGCGTATCCCCTTTTCCCGTGCAATCCCTTGAAGAGTGCGGATAAAGTACGTCCGCTCCAGGTCCTTCGTCTCGTGTGTCCACAAATCCTTGAGCACCTCCTGGATATCGAGCTCACCAAATTGGTTGAGCACGTTGCCCATCAGCCCAGTTTTCCCCACGGCCTTCTTCACATGCGTGAAGCCGTGTGCCACCATATCCTTTTGGCCGACAACCCCGGCGACCGAGCTGGTTACCTTGCCCAGAATGTTATATGTCGTGTTGACGGCCTTCTTGCCCGCCGCAACTGTGTTCGCCAGACTCTCCACGGTATCGAGGCGAGGATAGACTAACGGCACTGACACCATCCAGACACAGTGCTGCACGCTTGGTGGGAGGGTAGCGATTTTGGGGAACAAGCCTTGATATGTCGGCCCTGCCATGACCCGAGCTTGGCTGCGCTCGGAGCGGCAATCCGGGCCGACGACCACCATCGCTGGGCCAAGATGCTTGACAAAGTGCCAGCCCGTTCCGGTAACGGTAAAGATGTCATTGTCGGTGCTGACATTGCGCATCAGGTCGGCAGTGGTGTGGTGTTGGAACAGGAGATATAGGTCGGTGGCGATTCGGCCAATGTTCTTGAAAATGGGCGAATTCTGCATGTAATCGGGGTATGAACCATAGCCATCGAATCTGTCAAAAAAGTCAGCGTCAAGTCTTGTCTCGCAAGGACTTGGAATAACGTACATGTCATGGTCGTCAATCTGCAAGATGTGAGGGATTTGGGCAAACGCCTCTCGGAGGAATGGCTGATCAAAGTGACTGGTGTAGTAGTGGAAGTAGGCGTGCGTGACATCCTCCTCGTGTCGTGCGGTCCATTGAGTATTCCTCCTGTTGTCTCTACCACTCATTGCCAGCCATTGCCTGAGTATTGGGACTTCTTTCCAGAGTCTGTCACCATAGATCTGATCACCCAGCCCGAGCTGCACGTGAAACCCGTTGCAGTCGACGTTCTTCTGCAGAACGTCTTTCCACATGAACCCTACACCTCCAAGCTTTGCTCGCTCATTCTGGGATGTTGTACCGGCAAAGTCGTTACCAGAATGGGCGATAAAGCGCCAGTTGGTCTCGTAGCGTCCGGCAACCACAAATTCGTACCTAGTGCATCCCATGTGGGAGGTGACAGCGTACGTCCAGCGCTCGGTGCCACCTTCGCCCATCGGGAGATCCATCTCATACTTGTAAAACGACCATCGCTGGTGTGTATGTATGACCCGTGGCTCCAGCTGCCTTGGGTTAGGAGAGAGATCCATGCTCAGATGCAAATGGATAGTCGGCGGCTGGGGTGCATCAGTGACGATGAGAATGCTGCCGAGCCAAAGACCCTTCTCCATGTCCATGTTTCCATATCTGAGATACGGTCCAAAGTAAACACCGTTTGTTGGTTGGATCCTGTACATGTCCACTCCAGCGCTGGGCGGTGGGCCGGAAAATCCAACCGTTGACGGCGCCTGGCTCTGTGCGACACTCATGATGCTTTCCGCATAGACCGGCGTGTGAGGGGCGAACATTGGTGATGCGAGATTCTGTTTGCCAAACATGGGCGATGCCAAAGGATTGCCATATGTCGATGCCGTAGGGGATAGAGGCGTCTGTTCGACTGTAATGGGGTTTGGACCTTTTGGGAACTCCCATTGCGTGGCCTGGGTCGCCAGATGGATATAGTAGTATTGGCCCGAGTTCTGGTCAAGATGTGCTATCCAGCCCTCTGGTAGAGGTGGCGGAGATGCAGGATGTTGCTGGAGGGTAGGCGTAGGCGCGACCACCTGTTGTGAGCTGCTCTGCCCGTTCTGCTCAAGGGTCGGATCATTGGCGAAGGCAGGATGACCAGGGTGCTGCAGAGCTGGGGAAGCCAGTCCAGACGCAGCGATAGACGCCTGGGTTTTGGCTGGTGAAGCACCGTTGATCTGTGGCTGCTGTGCGCTGCTGCTACCTTGACCCTGCTGCTGCTGCTGCTGCCCGGGTTGCTGTTGCTGTTGCTGCTGCTGCTGCTGTTGCTGATGTTGTGGTCGCCCCTTTTCTTGGGGGTACCCCGAGTTGCCACCGGGATTCACGCTTGAGTAAGCAGGAGGGGGAGAGCTTGTGCCCAAGCGCTGGAAGTCCTGCTCAAGAACGCTGGTCTGCACGGGCTGGCTGCCTGGGTTCTGAGCCGAGGATTGAGGCGGCGGGCTGAACGACTGCCTGTTGTCGCTCTGCGGGCTAGCAACAGGATTGGCACCTTGGTACACGGTTGGCGGTCCCGACGGCGCTTGATCGGGAGACTCTGTAGGCGTCCACGGCCGATGGGGTTGGGGCCTTTGGTTGCCGTACTGCGCCAGTCTTGAGGCAGCCGCGGCGCTCTGCGCCTGGGACGCCTGAAGACCAGTGAGAGTCGCAGTGCCTGAGATGCCAGCAGCCGCATATCGAGCCTCTATACCGCCGCCCGGGACGTTGCCAGGCTCGACTACGGGCGTCTCGGGCGGGGGCGGTGAGCCGCGGCTTGCGCGCGTCGTAGAGATGGAGTCAAAGCGGTTTACCGAGTCGTTCATGTTGCCCGTTGGTCTCGGCGGGGCCCCAGCCGATGCGCCGCCAGGAGGAGGGTAGTATGCCTGCTTCTGGTAGCTGGGGTAATTGGTTGTAGATGCTGGCGGTTGCGATTGCGCCTGAAGTGGCCGTGCGAATAGATCCTGGTCGTCTTCGGGGCTTGTTGGGGAGGCGATAGGCTTGGGCGCAGTCCCCCTCCGCTCAGCCAGCCCCGGCTTCTTGTCCACTGGACTCTCCAAGCGGAAGCTGGTATCGATGTAGGACCTCTGCGCTTGCAAAGGCGAAGGCTTTCGAAGGTCGTCGTCCTCTGGGAACACGAGGGGTGCCGCAGAACTAGAAGCGCCCGGTGGTAACTGGAAGGGGGATTTGGCAGCCGGCGACGAGGATGAAGGAGGGGCAGGGTAGCGTACAGCAGCCGGTCTCTCAGCCGGTGTTGGGCTTTGTGGCTTGTAGATGCGTAGTGGGCCTACGGTAGGGCTGTCGCCTCCATCTCCTCCCGAGGATGTGTGGTGTTGATTCGGATCCATGGCGATTCGGGAAGTTGGTGCTTGTGATTTCAATGTCGAGCCAGAGGGCCTGCCGCGTCACCTACGCCAGACTGCAGGAGCACGCAAGCCAATGGCGAAGGCGTCAGTGCACAGCTTATGCAGGTTGTTGAGTTGAAGGCCAACTTTGAGGCCGCCTGAGGGCTTCTTTCCAACCTGGCTCCTCACTGACTTGCTTGGCCCGCGTCGGCCAGGACGAGATCCAGGGACGCGATGGGGGGGCAGAGTGGCCGATAGAGCGGGGTCGATATGGGGGTTGCGATGCAGGTCGCATGAACGGTCGCTTTGGAACGGAAGCTATGGCGAAACTCGTGCCGGCGTTGGTTGAGGTAGTCGTGAAGAAAGATGAAACAAAATGTAATCGTCGAGATCGGCCAGGACAGACGAAATACACAGATGGCCCGGGTAGCTCCAAGGTGTTGCTCGCGCCCTCCTCAAGAGCTGACGCAACTAGCATTCACAGCGCAAAGGCTTGGCACAAGAGATGGACCTCTCACGGCGGCAAAAAAGCCTCCCAAGGTCCAAAGAAAATGCATTTCCTCGAGTCTGGCGCCACGGAGGACCCATTCGGTTGCACATCTGCGGAGGGTGCAGCTCTCCCAGTTGGTGGATGGCTTCGGTGATTGGTCCATGGAGCTCTCGATTGTCCTGTAAGCGCCCGGAACTCGACAGCGACTGACAAGCCCGGTCGAAGCGCCGGACCAGACTGGAGCCAAGAGGATAGGGGTAGTGTAGGGTGATTGCATGGCCAACATAGCTGCCATGGCGATGGAAGCGTTGCTGGCGGGTTTGTTCGCATTTCCTCAGCGACAATTCGCCCTCGAGGTCAAGGTACGGACTGGAGATGGGGAGGAAGGGTCGATCCCAGCTTTGAGTTTAGAACGGCAGGTACGTGCCTGGGTACCTGAAGGCTGAGGCCCTAACCGGCAGTGTGCGGGTCGGCCTGGACGCGACCTTCCCGCTGCACTATGCTACTTTGGGACATCTTGGGGAAATACGTGCACAATACTGCGCAGATACCTGTACTAAACATAACGCACAAAGTTCCGGTGACGACTGGCCTGAGCATAAGGTACAGCATTCTGAATGCACAGTCTGCTCAGAGTGCAGAGTATGAATCACAAGGGTTTTCCTCGGAGCCACAGCCAGACATTCCAGGTACCACAGCGCAAGTACTCCGTACTCCGCACCAGATGTCCCAACCTAAACTTGAAATGAGGCTACCGGGGAGTGAAAAAGCGGGTACTGTGGATCCCACTTAACGCGTCTCGGCTCAGGCTTCGACTGCAAGACGTCGCGACGCGATTTGAGCGTCATCCACCCAGATGCATCAAGAAATCTGGACGAGCCAGATCCCACGGTCATTGCCGTCATGGCACCACCCTCGGAGAAGAAGCAAAAGTCTTTGACGTCCTTCTTCACTCCCAAAACCGCGAATGGTCTGGCTGCTGCCTTCCAGAAGCAATCACAGCCGCCAATACAGTCTCCAGCGACACAAGAAGATGCGTCCCTACGCAAACGACCGCGCGAGGAGCCGAGCGATGAGCCAGACGACCAAAGAACAAACGGCGCCAAGAAGAAGAAGATTGAAATTGAGCGCCCCTCAGATATTGACCTGGCCTCATCCGCCAGAGCAGAACGATTCCTTCATACCGAGTCCACGAATGGATCTGCGGAACACAACAGCAACGGCGACGACGATGCTGATGTTGATGCCGAAACTCGACGCATCAATCAGGAACTACATAGGAAATTTGTGAAAAAGCTTGGCCACCCGGATGCGATGGCAGGGCGCTGGGGCGGAGGCAAGTCTGAGCCAGCTGGGGATGATGACAACGTCGAAGGTGAAGACGACGATGACGAACCGCCGCCGCCAAAGACAAAGAAAAAGGGCTCCAAGACGGGAAAACTCACGCCGATGGAGATTCAGTTCCTCGACATCAAGCGCAAACACATGGATACGCTCCTGATCATGGAGGTCGGCTACAAGTTCAGATTCTTCGGCGAGGACGCCCGAATAGCGGCAAAAGAACTCAGCATAGTCTGCATACCAGGGAAGATGCGGTACGATGAACGTGAGTCGTGACGTATTACTCGCTCTTGTGCTTGACTGATGGCCCCCAGATCCTTCAGAAGCACATCTAGATCGGTTTGCATCTGCTAGTATCCCGGTCCATCGTCTGCCTGTCCACGCGAAAAGGTTGGTTGCTGCTGGTCACAAGGTCGGCGTCGTGCGACAAATCGAAACCGCGGCTCTCAAAAAGGTCGGCGACAACCGCAACGCCCCCTTCACTCGGAAACTCACCAACCTCTACACCAAGGGGACGTATGTGGACGAGGTCGGGGAACTTGACCACCAACCAGACAGTGGAGCTCCCTCTGGGGGCTACCTGCTTTGTCTGACCGAGACGAAAGCGAAGGGCTGGGGTACCGACGAAAGGGTCGACGTCGGAATTATCGCAGTGCAGCCTGCGACTGGTGATATCATCTACGACAACTTTGAGGATGGTTTCATGCGGAGCGAGATCGAGACCCGTCTGCTTCATATATCTCCTTGCGAATTCCTCATTGTGGGCGAGTTGACAAAGGGGACAGAGAAGCTTGTTCAACATCTGTCAGGAACCAGTACCAATGTCTTCGGCGACAGGAGCCGGATGGAGCGCGTGCCGCGGAGCAAGACTATGGCTGCCGAGTCTTATTCACACGTCGCTCAATTCTATGCCGACAAAGTCCAGCAGGCTTCGCAAGACAACAAGGCCAGTGCGCTGTTGGATAAGGTCCTCAAACTCCCCGAGCCAGTCACAATCTGCCTTTCGGCCATGATCAATCACCTCAAGGAGTACGGACTAGAGCACATCTTCGATCTGACAAAGTACTTTCAGAGTTTCACCACACGCTCCCACATGCTCCTCAATGGTACAACCCTTGAAAGCCTCGAAGTATACCGCAACTCTACAGACCACGTTGAAAAGGGCAGCCTGTTCTGGGCGCTCGACAAGACTCACACCAAATTCGGCCGCCGTCTCCTTCGCAAATGGGTTGGGCGCCCTTTGCTTCATGTCGAGCAGCTGCAGGCCAGGCTGCAAGCTGTTGAAGAAATGCTCACCAAGCAGTCCACTGCCCCTGTCGATCAGCTCGAAAAGCTGCTGGTGCACACCAGGGGCGACCTTGAGCGCAGTCTCATCCGCATCTACTACGGCAAATGTACCCGGCCTGAACTTGTATCCGTTCTTCAGACGCTGCAACGCATCGGGACGCAGTACGCCAGGATGGAGACAGCTGCCGACACACCTTTTGACTCGCCCCTGATCAACGACGCCATCTGCGCCATACCTCGCATCCTCCCGTCTGTCACTTCGCATTTGGAAAAGATCAACTATCGAGCGGCCCAGGACGACGACCGGTATGAATTCTTTCGCGAGGAGCACCAGAACGAGGACATTCAAGACCACCAGATGAACATTGCGCATGTGGAGTACGAGTTGGACCAGCATCGAGCTGTCGCAGCTGAGAAGATAAAGAAGAAGAAGGTGGAATACGTGACAGTCGCCGGTATTGAGTACTTGATCGAGGTGCCCAATACCGACATTAAGCATGTCCCTGCCTCGTGGGCCAAAATCTCAGGGACGAAGAAGGTGTCACGGTTCCATACCCCTGAAGTCATCCGCTTCACAACCGAGCGGGACCAGCATCGCGAGTCTCTGGCAGCCGCTTGTGACAAATCATTCAAAGATCTGCTGGCCACCATATCCTCGGACTACCAGCCGCTCCGCGATGCCATCTCCGCTCTTGCATCTCTCGACTGTCTCCTTTCGCTCGCCAAGGTGGCGGCCCAGCAAGGCTATTCAAAACCGACCTTCCTACCAGACGACACGGAGCCGACAATATCAATACAAAACGGCCGTCACCCCATTGCCGAACATACCCTCGAGTCAGGCTACATACCATTCACAACAACCCTCGCGCACCCAGCCCCCCTGGCCCACCTTATCACGGGGCCCAACATGGGCGGCAAATCCTCCTTCGTCCGAGCGACGGCCCTCCTCGTACTTCTCGCGCAAATAGGGTCATTCGTACCAGCGGATGGCATTCAACTCACTCTGTGCGACGCGATACACACCAGAGCCGGGGCCCGTGACAACCTCTTTGCGGGCGAGTCGACATTCATGGTTGAAGTGTCGGAAACCGCACGCATCCTTCGGTCCGCCACACCTCGCTCTCTCGTCATCCTCGACGAGCTAGGTCGTGGCACCAGCACGCACGACGGCGCGGCCATTGCGCAGGCCGTCCTGCAGCATGTCGTCACCGAGATCAAGTGCCTCACCTTGTTCATCACGCACTACCAGAACCTCGCCCGCGTCGCCGAAGGCCTGGACGCGGTCAAGAACGTGCACATGAGGTTCACAGCGGAGAAAGGGGACGACGGAGAGGAGGAGATCACGTTCTTGTATGAAGTAGCAGAGGGTGTTGCGCACCGCTCTTATGGTCTCAATGTTGCCCGACTCGCTCGTCTGCCAAAGAAGGTCTTGGATCTGGCAGCCGAGAAATCTTCCGAAATGGAACATGGCATGAGGACCAGAAGGCTGGGTGGAGCTGCTCGAATACTGACACAAGCTGTCTCGAGCAATGGAACGGCTGACCACCTGGACCAGCTTATCGCCAGTATCGAGCAGCTGTGAGACATGTTCTCACATCCACTGCATGTAAATTGGGTGCAAGGAAAATAAACCAGATTCATAATACGGAAACCCATTGTACATGAACGCCCTCCTAACTTTTGTCTGCGAACCCATATTTGAACCATGTTGAGGCGCGCCGTCGTTCACTCCCAAATGCGTCCTAACGATCTGACCCCAAAAAGCTAAACTTCCCTCCTTTCTTTCTAACGATAACACCAGGAACAACAATAAATAGCGCCCGAGTCTTCCCAATAAAATGACAAAGCAAAGTTCGCAAACCCCATACCATGCTTTCCGCGCAGTATAGTATAGTGACCCGGCTTCTGAATGCTCGATTCCGTGATGGGCATCCCCAATTGATCTGACATTGTTAGCATGCGATGCGTCAGAGTAACTTATGGCACGTACAAGCCTCAGCCCAGATGATATAACGCGAGCACCCAACCACAAATCGCACCCCTTTCCCAAACAATGTGTTAAAAATGTCAGCTCAGAGGTCCATATCATCGGTTCGGAGGGCATCGGTCATCGTCAAGGGTGTGTTCAGGTGATGTTGTTCCCAGGCCGTCTGGTCCTCGAAGCTGACACCACCACCCTCGCCGTTGTCCCGATCGCTTCCCATAGACTCTGTCGTGTTTTCTTCTAATTTGATGCTGTTGTTCGAGTCGTCTTGTGACCGACCGCAGGCACTAGTCGCAGAGAAGCTTTGCTCCTGATCAAGTGCCACAAGCGCAGCGAGTGGTGACATGGCGTGCTGCGTCGATTCCAGGGGTTGATCAACAAGGCCTGTTTTGCCATGTGTGAAAGGAAGGTGGGTGCCGTTTGTCGACTGAGGAAACATCCCAAGTCCGACACCACACAGACCATCATCACCCCCAATGTTGCCAAATCTGTCGGCCCTCGGGTATGTGCCGCCGGGGAGTTGGTAGGCGCCGTTCATTCCGTCTAGCTGTGGAAACGTATAGAATGAGCTTCGCATGTTTGGTGGATAGTAAAACGCAGAATCGCCGAAGAGGTAAGCATCGTCGTGTGGAGTGAATGGTTCTGTTTATGGATGTTAGTTTACGAACTTCTCAACGAGGAGTGGCTTTCAACCTGTCCCAAGGATGTTGCTGTTCCCATACTAAGAAGCAGCAGGGAACCTTTGACGGTGGCCATAGTTTCCGCTCCCATTGAAACCTGAAATCAGGTCTCTGGGGATCGGTGTTGGAGAAATGAGGTTGGGATGGGACAGCATATTCAAACTATGAACATGGCATCGCTCTCTGAGGTCGGAGCTGTCAGACCCAATTAGCTATAGCTTCTCAAACGTGCAAGGGGATGCTTTTTACTTGTGCTCTCGGGTAGTGGGGACTGCAAATCCTTGGTCATCGAAAGCTGTGAAATGTCAGTCGAGCACCGATACCAGTAGTGACAACGAAGTCTCACCAGGCTTGAGATCTTCGTCGCTGAAGACATTAGGAGTTGGTCGCTGAGATGGAGGCACGGAGGTTGACAGCTCAGGATCGATGTTTTGCCCGCCAGCTTTGGAAGGCTTCACCACATCCGGCGGTGCACAGCTCTCACGGCGTGCTTGCTTGAGGTTCCGACGTGGAATGTTTACAGACACATCTGCGAGAGCATTGGTCTTCTTCCTCTTGGTGCGGACCGTCTTTTTTGCTGAGATCTTCAAGGTCCATGGTTAGCCATCAAAGCAGAGAATCTTATGAGAAACACCATACTGGTTCCACTCCATCCTCATCTGGCGTAAGCTCATCATAAACGTCTTTCGTCCTCGCGAACTCAAAGCCAGGGCTGTAGACAACTTGTTCGGAGCTAACACCCTCTGACGTCCTCCGCATCTTCTCGATGACAGACCGTGGCTTTTTCTGGTTTCGGATGCGCTTCATCTCGTCGTTTGCAAGGTCCAACTTTCCCATGCCCGGCCATATCAGTCCTTTGAGGGACATGGTGTCACCGAGCGTTGTGACATCCTCGACTGCAACCAGATCATGGTCCGGTAGAGAAAGGCCGGGATAAGCCGCCATACCGGTGCTAGAGGGAAACTCGTCATCCTCGGACTTGATAAATGGTACTGCAGTGCCGGGCGAACGTTTTGGCTTCCGGTTTGATTGCTACATTGGGTGTAAGTGCTGCTCAGTCCACAGCCAATCTAGATATGCTTACCTTGGGTGGGTATGGAGCTGAGGAACCTACTGTTCGCTTGCTTCTCGTTGCATCCTTCTCCTGCTTGGTTTTCATCCGCTCAATGAGAAGAGACTCAATGGCATTGTCCTCATACCATTCGTCATAGCTTCGGATGGTTGTGAACGCCTCCTCATCTTGGCGAGCCTTGAGCTTTGTCTGCGTTTCATGATGCAAATGGCCCTTGGAAGCGATATGCGTCAGGAGGTGGGAGACGTCCGAGAATGTAGGGGTATCGGGGCACACGCAGCACTGCAAGGGGATCGGCTTTGAAGGCATTGCTGGTGCCAGTGTCTCGGGCACTTGAGCCGCCATCGGAGCTTCAGGAGCATCTATCGACAATGATGCCATGGTGGCCTGTACATCGTTAGCCTTCAGTGCCAAACTGCCAAGAATGCATGTGCAATGGTGAATAAAATGGGTGTCCACAAGGGGGGATCTGAGGCATGGTGTCCATACGTAGACGTAGATTCCAGACCAAGTCGTGGTGAGTTTTCTGTGGTTATATCTGCAGCCAGTGGCTAGCAGGCCAGGAAGGCCAGATCGATCAGGATACAGACAAGGCGTTGGGGCCAGTGGTATTTCCAAGTAGAAAGAAGGAGTGCCGCGGAATGCTGGCAGGTGGATGAGAGCAAGTTGAACGAGAGCAATGGTTCAGAGCTTTGACAAGCAAGGGCGTCTGAGGGACGAACAATGAGTGTAACGCAGATGCCAGCAGAGTTGACCCAGGAGTCGGAATGGCAAAGCGAAGGAGGCCGACACGACGTGACGGAGTTGTTGACTTCATTCACGGCACAACAGAGACTTACCTGCGAAACAAGGCCAGTTGACTGGGCATTGGCGTCTATAGCTCCTGCCGCTATGGCATTGGCTTTGCGTGCTCGCTTGGGCATAATATCGACTCGCTTCGGGCGGTGGAAGGCACGGACGTTGGAATCTGTGTGCCCGTTATGTGCCCTTGGAACTGGCTACTGCTGTCGAAGATTTGGTGCAGAAGCTGGTGCGTCGAAGAGCCCAAACAAACCGCCTTGAAGCCAAAGGACTCTCCCACTTACTATCGGAAGCTGGCAGACGGACCGAAGTGGTTGGAGGTGAGATGGAAGAGATCTGGGACCAGGAACGAGTCCTTGCCGCAGTTTGGTTTCCCACCGTCTGGGGGCAGGTGCGCACGCTCTTTCCTCGAGCTGGCCACACCGCCCGCACAGCTCCAGACACTTCGATCCATCGAAATGAGATGAACGTACCAGGTACCTTGGTGCTAGAATATTCGTCTACCTCTTTATATCTTATGGCTTGTTCAAGTTGTTGTGTCAGGCTGGTATCGGCGACTGGCTCTGGAGTTCCAATACAGGCAACAGGGCCTCGTTGTTTTTGTGAGGTCGCGGCGTGTGAGTTGTCAGGAACAGGTTGTTTATATGCACTCTCGGGTCTTTTGGCAGAATCGTCCCAAGTTGGGGGTGACCACAAACCAGCACGCACGCCAGACTTTCTCAGATCATTACTCTCGATCACCACTCGAGGCATGCGGTACGTCAGAAAAGAATATGAATACAAATGTACGCTTGAAAGGGGCTCAAGTGATGAACCAGCTGTGCGGGTACTGCCACCTGAAGTATACTCACAATATGTGATGCAAAAGCGCACTTCGTTGGCCTCACGCTCGTCTGGACTTGAGGACCATTTGCACATGTGTATGGCAGCACAATCAGCCTTGACTATTCGACGTTGAAGACGGAGTAACTCGATGCAAATCGACTTCTATTATTGGGTGTCAACTATGACCATAAGCACTGAGCTAGTAAGACGCATGTTTGAAGGACTTCACAGGACAGCGCCACGGCGTACTAGCGCTGCCCCTGAAAAAACCAACAATTCCTCTCCTCTCGCCTTGTATCCTGGCTAACACGAAGTATTGTCTTTAGCAGGTTATTAGATGGCAAGAGGGGCCTCTGAATTCGATAGCCGACATCGCAACACACCCCACAACTTCAAGTTCGGCTTTCTTCAGCCTAGGACTCGTTTGATGACGGCCTTTGGCATGCAATAAACGGGGTCGACCTCTTCCATGGAGGGGTACCCGAGCAAGCTGAGCCCAGCCGCACCGAAGCAGGTGTGCCATACATCGACCATATCACCAGGTCGGTCTGCGATGCCACCCTTTTCGGTATCTTGGGACTGGAGGATGAACTGAATGAGACCATCGCGATCAATCCAGTGGATCTTGCCGATGATCGACAGACTACTCAACACCCACCAGCTGTAACACACGTCTTCCTTCTTCTCTGGCCGGCCATTCAACCCGCCGCCAGGGACTTGTCTCTCGCTGAGCCACTGCCCCAGCTTCTCCTGGTCAACAAGGTCGAGCCGTTTCGCGATCGCCAAGGCAGCGACGCAGGTGAAGATCTGGCCCGAGTGCGACTCCGCACCAGGTCGCACGCCATATCCGCCATCAAAGTTGGCACAGGACGCGACGTACGAGACTGCTCGCTCTACATCTACAAGCGAGGTGAGTCCCAGGAGTGACAGTGCATTGAGGGCTCCGTAAAGAAAGCGTGTGTCTTCCTCGCCCCACTCATCGCCATAGAATGTTCCTGTTTCGCGGTTCTGCAGCTGGGCGATATCTGTGGCCTCGGTTAGTGCAACTATCGTGGACTGGACATCAGCAGCCCATACATTTTCCGACCTGAGCTTTGCCCTTGCCGCGTCGGTCTAGTTCATCGAAGCCGTCGACCATGGCTAGGATCTGTACAGCACTTACTGTAGAGAGCATGTGGGCGTCGTGGCCGGGCGCTGCTCCGAATCCCCCGCTCTCATGTTGACACGACAAGATAAAGTCGAGAGTTTCGTCAGGAGGGAGCGCATCGGGATGGCCGAGGAGGTGAAGAGCCGTGAGTCCCCAGTACACGCCGTTGAGGCGCAGGTGCTCGGTCAGCCAGTAATCAAGCTCATCTTTGTGGGTGTCAAGGCTCTGAATGTACTGAACATGGGCATCAGTAGCCAGATGCAGTTGCTTGGTGGTGGCAGGAGCCTCAGTCATGGCGACGAGGAGCGAGTGAGGGGAACGGGAGTTGATAGAGTGTGGTCTTTCATGATGAGAATTTTGTACTATACTCGGCCTCTTACGTAACCCGGCATTTCCACCGCCCATGTAGCATAGCCTACCCTGGAGCACCATTGTGGTCACGTCACGTAGGAGACCAAGACCTCAATCTCTCAAATTTGTTTGCTTACAACGCTTGTAGTTAAAGATTGATCGATTTCTTGCTCGAAGTGTTCGTGTTGATGAACTGCAGATGGATATCATGGTCAGTAGCGTTTGACGGTGTGTGGGAGCGACCAGCACTCGGTATTATCTTGCCGTCTCAATATTCTGCTGTTTACCTGAGCTTCCGAATCACTATACTATGATCAAACCACGGCCAAGGGATTGCACTTGATTTAGCTCGCACATATATTAATAAATATAAATTATTAGTCAAGATTTTGTCCCAACTCTCAATTTCAGAAATGGTCAACAGATGGGCGCAGTGTCACGATGCCATGGACCCAACGTCATCGCCAATCCTTGCCAGAAAGTAGATAGAATGTGGCAAGGCGACTGACTTGTCGTTGCATCTGCGAGGAGACCACAATTAATCGGAGAAGCGAGTTTGTCGAGGAGCTCGGCTAGAACACCACACTTCTGTTCGCAACTTGGAAGTAATTGAATAATGTCCCTTACCTACCTGTGTACTTTCTGAGCTGAACATATGGCGGACAAAGGCACTCATCATGAGAACGCCCATGGCAAATGAGGGCGTCGTGTCTTGCTCTGCAGGGTTATCACCAACAACAAAACCCCTGAAACAATCCTGAAAGGTGCCTGAGTCCTGCTCACTGTTATTGGTTGAACCAGGACGAACCTAGCCTGTTTCAGACCCATCTCTCTGTAGCGGCGCCGGGAATGAAGCCTGCCGGCTTATTAACCTCGACGCGAAGATATCTCTCCCAGTTCGTAGGACCGTTCGAGAGCTTGGGAGAGGTACCACAGTCATGGCGGGCCAAATTGGCAAGCGTGATTAATTAGTGCTACGGAGTACGTACATACCTCACAAATGTAGGATGTTTGCACTCTAAAATTAGAGATGGAACACGGAGCGGTCTTGGACCTTTGTGAATGCCTCCCTCCCTGCCTTGCGCTCCGGTCATTCGCTGGCAGTCGCAACAATTTGAAGCCCATTCCAAACGGCGTATGGAACCCCTGATTGAATGACCGTCATACCTAGGTACTTTAATTATTGTTCTAGCCACTTCATGCCCTACTTGCAACTAGGTCAGGAAGCCCAATCGTGAATAGGTAGTCAGCACGAAGCTGGCAAAGCCGTCTGGGAAGGCAACGAAGCTGCCGACTGGAGCTCATCTCCAGTTGTTGGGCCTGTTCTGCATGCGAGGCCTGGAGGCTGGAGGCCCTTGCTCCATGTCGTTGCTACGGACAGGACCAGCCGCAGCAGGCGTCCCTCATTTTGCGGTCCGTATTAAATTGTGCACCGTGACAACGACAAAATCCCCGGCCCGCCCACGACCGGAGGACCCTTTGCGATTCCTTGGTCTCTGGCAGGTTTTCTCGCGCAACCCACGTCGATTCCGCTGCTCTGTGACGCCTGTTGCCGCAGTCACAGGCTGATCCTCTCCACCGCCCGCATTTGCTGCCGTAGACTGGACGTGTGAGACGCGGCACTTGCGCACAGCTCACGCAGGCACGCCTGCTCCTCCAGTCTTCCCAAGCTCCCGTTTCGTAGAGGGACTGGACTGGACTGGAAGATGGGACGCAAGAAGGCGGTGCCCCAGCCGCTCTCCATACCACACACCAATTTGAACATCACAAGCAAGACCACTAGCTCTGCAACGACCTCCAACCCACCTGAGCCTACCGCTGCTGCCCAAGCCATATCCGCCGCGAACACGCTTACCCCGACTCCTGGGACCGCATCGTCTACGTCGACAGGCCTCTCCCCATCCGATTCTAGATCCCCAGCCTCTGCGAGCACACGCATATCGCCGTTCAGCAGCCGATTTGCTCAGAAGCGCCCTCAGACTGCACGCGCCGGTCAACCCTCCAAGACCACCGACTTTGACCAGTTCGACCGACGTCGCCCCTCGCAACCATCCGTCCAAGGCCCAGCACAATCGCAGAAAGCTGCCGCCTATCCTCACATTGCTTCTACCTACAACCCCTCGAGCACATCCCTCCGATCAGTGCAATCGGCATCGCAAAGCCAAACACCAACCCAAGGTCAACAACCCCAGAAGCAAGTGCAGCACGAGCCCAAAAAGTCGAGAGGCTTCTTCCATTTCGCGAAGCCCTCCAAGTCTTTCACTCAATTCACAAGTCAACCTTCCTCCCACAATTCGACACCCTCACGCGACGAAGCGCAACCAGTTGAACTAGAGCGCGCAGACACATCCGGTTCCAATCAAGCAGGTACGTGCGTGCGAGCGCTCCAGTCCCTCGCTTGAGCAAGGCGCAGTCAGAGGGAGCGCACAACTTCCAGTCTTCTGCTCGACGTCCCTTACGTGTGCTGGCTACTTTCGTCAGGGGCTCTGTTCGCTGATTCAATGACATTATAGGCTCCACCCATCGCGACGCTGCCCACCCCCAATCCAGTTCCGGAAGGCCACTGCACCTCAAATCGTCACGGTCGCAGCACTCTTTGTCTTCGCACGGCGAACGCGAATCTCCCCAGGCGGCCCCGAAGCGAAAGCCATTCGGCCTCCTCAAACGCACCAAGTCTCTCCGAGACAACTTGCGCGATATCGCCAACCCCTCCGAGCAGCAACACGACCCGATGCCTACGCTGGCCCCACAGTCCACCAACGGAAGCGAGTCGCCGTCTGTGCAGGCAGTGCCCGCGCAGCAACATACGGAGCGTTCTCGTCGCGACGTGATGGAGTCCTCGACACGGAACCCGTCTGAGGACCGGGAACCTCCACGTGAAGGTCAGGCTACTCGAGAGCAGCGCCGCGACAAGTCGCCAAAAGGCGCACCCGTGCCCGCACCTGTAGCCGCACCCGCACCAGCTCCCGCACCCGCACCAGTCCGCGAGAATGGGCACTCAACATTCTTCAGTGGACTCAAAAACTCGTCTACAAAGGCTGCCGGCATGTTCAACCGGGGATTCTTCAAGGGTCACCGAAGCGCTAGTACCCACGAACACCAGCATTCGTTGGACGACGAACACTATGAGCTCAAGGTTCTGAACCTTCCTCTTGCCGCGCAAACGCGCAAGACACGGATATCCAAGCGACTGGAAGACTCGAGGGATAAGACCGAGTTCTGGATGCCCGCTTTTCCATGGAGAGCTATTGATTATCTCAACTTCAAGGGCTGTGAGGTAGAGGGTCTGTATCGTGTTCCAGGCAGCGGTCCTCAGATCAAGAAGTGGCAACGGAGGTTCGACGAGGGTTAGTGCCCCTGTGCAGGAAATACCAGAATATATGGCTGACAAGGATCACAGAGCACGATGTCAATCTCTTTGAGGCAGAGGACCTGTACGACATCAACATCATCGGTTCCATGCTGAAAGCTTGGCTCCGGGAGCTACCCGAAGAGCTCTTCCCCAAGGCGGCTCAGGAGCGAATTGCGCGAGAATGTGCGGGAGCAGAAACTGTTCCGCAGTTGCTCATTGATGAGTTGTCGAATCTGTCGCCCTTTCAGTACTATTTACTCTTTGCTATCACTTGCCATCTCAGCCTTCTCCTGGCCAACTCGGACAAGAACAAGATGGATTTCCGCAACCTCTGCATCTGTTTCCAGCCCTGTATGAAGATTGATGCGTTCTGCTTCAAGTTCCTCGTCTGCGATTGGAGAGACTGCTGGAAAGGTTGTGCCAACGAGGCCGCCTATATAGAGCAGGAGTATATCCTGCTCGACGAGCCGCCACCACAGGGACTCTCTCAATCAACAGATCCCGCGCAATCTGTCGCCGCGCCGCCAGCTGCGGCAACTCGGCGGTCTCCCTCGGAGTCCAGTCAGCGCTCGGCTGACGGCGCCGCACCAGCTCGAGTACCGCAACAAACCCAGGTACAGGAATCGCAGTCCAAGGACAGCGTGGGCTCAAACGGGTCCACGATATCGACAACCTTGACGTTCAACAGCGAGCAGGAAGCGGCGAAAAGCAGATCAGGGGAGCTACGCCGGCTTTCCCCCATCCAGCCTTTATCACCGCTTGGCTTTCAATAGCCACAGACGGAATCTCAAAGAAGGAAAACCCCGTCCGCAAAATCTCACATCGCCATTGATAGATACCCTGATTGTATTCCAGCGCGTTAGCCGAGTCACGAATCACGCCCTTATGATCTTCTCATTTCAAGCACCTTTTTTGTCATTTGGCCAACATTTGTACATGCATCACCTCCTCAGTTGATCGGATATCACTAGTCAGTCGGGCCAGCAGGCACCGAAAGAATCGATGTTTTTAGAAGGAGTTGCTTTTGTCAGGAATACTCTGTTGCGGAGACGAAGCTGGTGGAAGGATTCAACTGCCTTACAAGCCCAGACGTCCGATGATTGAGATGGTCTATCATACCAGCTTTTGGGGGGGAACCAGTTGGATCGGCGAGCTAATAGCTGGCAACGAGCATAGTGGCATAGCATGGTGTGCCCTGAAGGAAGCAAGAAAGAGGGCACCCGCCTTGGTCATGGAAGTCGGGAGCGCTGCTTTAGAAACAATTTGATTTGGTGATCCATGCGAAACGCCCTGTCCCCAACGCCATTGTGTGATGCTGGCCGAGCAATAACTGAACCCATCCGCGCGGCAACAAACAATCCCTGTGATCATTTCCTTCCACTGGCTGAGGAATCCCGGGAATTTTTCCTCTGCTTCCTCTCGTTTCGCCTCAGGTTCTCTTTGCGCTCTCTGCGGTTGTCGCCCCTCACGTGTGTGCCCTCCTTCCTCTCCCTCTCCGCCTTCATGTCCACCTCGACGATGGCGTCGCCTTGGCCCTTTTTGTTGACACCACCGTAGCCCCACTTGCGCTTCCAGTCGCCGCTCTCTTCGTCAAAGGTCAGGTTGCGTCGGGACTCCCTGGACTTGGGCAGGATGCCCTTCTTGGCGGCGAAGCGCTCCCACTTGGTCGGGGCCTTGGCTTCGGGGACGGGCTTCTCGCGGGGTAGGCGTGTCGATGGCGCCGGGAGACTGAGGAGGACGCCGTCCTTTGTGGTGCTCAGGGGGCATGTAGTCAAGAGCTGGTTGATGAGCGACTGCGCGCCGTCGCGGGCGACGCTGGCGAGCGACTGCTCAATGGCCTCGTGATCGAGCTCGACTGGGTTGGGATCCTCGACCATGATGTGCCCGAGGTCAAATGTGTATGGCGTGGGCTTCTCCACGGCCACTTGCAACTTTGGTTTCGCCTCCATTGTGTTGTATGATGCGCGCTTCAATAGGTGTTTGGTTGGTATTACTTAGTGAACCGTCAAGATGCTGCGACTGTCCCGCCAGAACTTTTCGCCTATTTTTTTGCTATCGATAAGGCGAGCGTTACTCCTGGGCTGGGTGAGCGGGTCCAATTTTGGACTGCAATTGAAGCCTTAGTCATCCGAGAATTTCTGCTGCGAGACTCGGATTATCACCGCCAGCAACGCGACCGCGATCCATTAGCCAGCATTCGACATTTGCTCTCTCGCGTGCGTGACAGCAAAAACACCCGCGCACTAGCCGACATGGCTTCCGCACACTCACTGCGGTCGTTCATGCGGCCAACAGTCTCGACGACGCCTCGATCCCTCGCGAGGGCCTTTACGACAACGCCCCTCCAGAGCGCTGCGCAAGGGAAATCGAGCCTGCCGCCGCAGAAACAGGTGCAGGTCTCCAAGAAGCACAAGAAGCCTCTGGTACGCGCGAAGGCTCCCAACCCCGGCGAGCGCAAGGCGTTCCGCAAGCGCATCCAGCTCAGCAACAACAGCGCGCTCGAGGTGCAAGGCACGGAGGACCTGCAGCCCGACACGATGCTCAAGAGCGAGCATGCCGGCAAGATGTTCTCCATCCCCAACGATATGCAGGACAAGCTGCGCACGCTGGAAGCCTTCAAGACGACCCAGTCCTGGAACCTGTTCCGCAAGCCGCATATCCTTGTGAGACAGGACTTGGTGGATTTGATGAACAAGCTGGAAGCTGCCAAGGGCAACCAGGAGGCTTTGAGGCTGGTGCTCACGGGCACGAAGCTGTCTGGCAAGAGTCACGCTCTCCTCCAGGCTATGCTCTACGGAATGATGAACAATTGGGTTGTCATCAACATCCCCGAAGGTATGCTGAACACGGTCGACGCTCGCTGTCAATGATTGATGCTAACACGGTCCTCCAGCTCAGGATCTCACCAATGGCAACACCGAGTATACGCCTGTCCCCGAGACGTCGGATCCATACGAGTTCATCCAGCCTGTGTACTGCTACAAGCTCCTCACCAGCATCTACGACGCCAACAAGAGTGTGTTGGAAGGTCTGAAGCTGCAGAAGGACTGGTCCGCCACGACGCAGCAAAAGGGTGCCGGCAGTCTCGCCGACCTGATTCAGAGCGCAAGAGAGCCCGACTGGGCGTGGCCGACCTTCATGGCCTTGTGGCAGGAGTTGCAGCTGCCCGGTCGGCCGCCGGTCTTGTTCGCCCTCGACGGCCTATCGCACATTAACAAGAAGAGCGACTACCGCGATCCCGAGTTCAACCCCGTCCACGCGCACGACCTTGTCCTCGTACGCACATTCGTCGACGCCCTCTCGGGCAAGACCAAGCTCCCCAACGGCGGCGCCGTCATCGCTGCCACCTCTGGGAACAACCGCCAGCTCCAGCCCTCCCAAGAGCTGGTTCTCTCGCAGCTCGAGGCTGGTCAGAAGGGTGACGAGGTGCCCAAGCCGGATCCCTATGAGAAGGGCTACGATGAGCGCGTGTATGACGCTCTCAAGAACTCCACCGTTATGAGGCTAGAGGCCCTCAGCAAAGCAGACGCACGCGTGCTGATGGAGTACTGGGGTGCTAGCGGCATGCTGCGGAGGAAGATTGACCAGCACACAGTCTGGTCGGACTGGGCGCTGAGCGGGCATGGCATCGTGGGAGAGCTGGAGCGGACGTCTCTGTTGACGATCAAGATGTAATGTACCAACATTGTAGATATGTATACTATGGGATGTATCAAGATGTGATTCTCGAGCCTCTCACTTCACTCATGTCAAAAGCAAACAAGATCTCGTCTCCAACAGCACGCACGAGGACTTAGCAGTATTGAAGACCTTGAATCAATAGATTGGCCCCTTTTTCTTCTACTAGTCAGAAATACTGACACATACCATCGTCGTCTGTAATCCATCCTAACGTAGAGCCTTGAAACGCCTGCCTGTCTTTCCCAAACCCACGAGCTTTAAATATCCATGTCATCCTCAAACTCATCAGCATCCGCCGTGACAAACACCAATCTCGCCCCGCCACCTGTTGTCTGCCAGACCTGTGGATATAGTTAGCTTCATGTTGTACGACCATGATCAAAAGACTTACGTCGAGACTTGTGTACTCTTCCAGAGCAGTCATCCATTGATCCTCGGTAAAGCCCTTGGCAATGACGCGCTCCTTGACCTTGCGCATGCTCAGCTCAACGCCGAGCGTCTCGTCATCGTCCGCATCCTCCGCACGGCAGGCTCCCGAGTCAGCCAGGGCCTTGACGAGGTTGTATATCCTGCTGCTGGGGTTGAGACCCCGGCGACCAGAGGTTGTGTCGGTGTTGAGACTCTCCTTGCTGGCCTCGATCAGGCGCAGTGCTTCGTCGACATCGTCCTGCTGAACCTCGTTGCTGAAGCGCAGACGAGCGAGGGCCTGTGACAGACGCACGACACCCAGGAGGGTACGTGGGGTAGTGTGCGTGAACTGCTTGCCCTTCTTCTCTGCGCGCTGTTGCTGATCACGCATACGCACATAGGTCTTGATCATGTATTCGGATACGGACTCGGGCACCGTGGGGCGGTATGTGCGCGCCTGGGCGACGTAGGATCGGACCTCGTGTGGCGTGAAAGTGACCTGCTCGGGATGGCGGTTGTTCATGTGCACATAGGCCACGTGCTTGGCCAGCTGCTCGTCAGACTCGCGGGTAGGGGTATCAAGAAGGAGGAAGAGGATGTCAAAACGAGACAGGAGCGCGGCGGGAAGATTGATGTTCTCAACGGGAGAGATGCGCGGGTTGTAGCGGCCGTAGACAGGGTTAGCCGCGGCGAGGATAGATGTCCTCGCATTCAAGGTCGTCGAGATTCCGGCCTTGGAGATGGAGATGGTCTGTTGCTCCATGACTTCGTGAATAGCAGTACGGTCGTTGTCATCCATCTTGTCGAACTCGTCGATGCAGCAGATGCCATTGTCGGCCAAGACCAGGGCGCCGCCCTCCAGAATCATCTCATCCGTTACGGGATCGCGCATGACGGCAGCCGTGAGACCAACGCCGCTGCTACCACGGCCAGAGGTGTAAACACCGCGCGGTGCCACTTTCGAGATGTACTTGAGAAGCTGGGACTTGGCCACACCGGGGTCACCCATCATGCACATGTTGATGTCGCCACGAATCTTCATGCCGTCTCCAACCTCTTTGTTCACACCGCCGATCAGGAGGAGTAGAAGGGCCTTCTTGACATCAAGGTGACCGAAAATCTCGGGAGCGATGGACCTCGCCAGCAGCTCGTACACTTGTCCCGACTGACGGTGCTGCTCAATCCGGCGCACAAGCTTGGGATCAATAATCATCTCGCTGTACGCCTTCTTGTGCTGCATGATGTGGTGAGCCTCGAGGTAGGTGTCGGTGAGCAGACCAGCCTTGAGCGCCTTGAAACCGGTGTAAGGCGTGGGGAGGAAGATACCAGAGATGTCCACCACATCACCGGGGTTGATCTGACGCACGGTGCTCCCGTAGCATAGCACGGTCAAGCTGCGAGGAATCTGACCGATGGGGACCTGCTCGGCCATCTCCTGGACCTTGACCTCCTGAAACGGCAGGTACTTGGAGGCCCTCACCGAGTGAGTCAGTTGTCCTCTGGCTTGGTTTTCGACACAGGACTGCGACGGACAGGCCGTGAGAGGGCCGAATTGCCTGTCAGTGATAGGCTGAAAGATCTCACAACCGCAACGGTCGCAAGAGTAGGCGTTGACCTGAACGATGGGTTTCACGTCAGAGACACGGGTGGCGATGCAGCGCATCGTGATGAGATGTCCCAGGTGTTCGCCTCGCACATCACGAACAGCGAGTGCTTTCTTGGGTTGGTCCAATGTGCCCGAGCGAGGTTTGAAGAGAAGGGTATATCGACGGGTGAGCTCGGCAGGGAAGACGTCGGCGTCGATGGCGGGATCTCTCTCTTGCTCCTCCTCCAAAACGCGGTTTCGCTCTTGTCGTCGCGCAGCGAGGACATCTAGCACATCGTCTTTGAACCTGCTGCGTGTTAGCCCTTCCCATACTCCATGTAAGCAAAGCGTGCAAGTTGTCGTACGTAAGGTCAGCCTCGGGTGGAGGCATCTTCTTGTCGATGGCCCTTGACACAATCTCCACGTAGTGCTTTGTGTTCATCTCAATCGAGTCCACGAGCTTCAGATTATCCTCTTGTTGTTGCTGTTCTTCCCACTGCCAATTGTCAGCCGGTACTCCACCAAGTTTTGCGTGCCGTGGCATACTGTTTGCACGTCGTCGAGATCGACAGTTATCGAATCGATTTGCCTGTTGGCAAGCTGACGGAGAGCTTCCTTGTACTTGTACTGAGGCACGCGCTTTTGCTGTCGCTGCCGCTGCCTTTCCTCAGCCGCGCCATCGTCGTCATCCATAAAATCATAATCGTCGCTCAATTCATCCTCATCAATCGTGACATTGCCCAGCGCCGTGGTGATAGTCTGCTCGGGCGATGTTTTGAAGTCTGTCAGAAAGCTCTCGAATGCGCCTGTCGATCGTTAGCGCTGGCTCGTCTCGCGCCCATGTCGCAGCACACTGACTTTGTTGTTTCTCGTAGTTCACCGGCGCCTTGAGCTCACGAAGCGCCATCTTGTCCAAGCCTCCTCGAGTGTTGTTCTCTGATCTGGGCAGGAGTGGTTGCTGTTGCGAATTTGTTGACTCGTTCGGAAAGGGAGGGGCAGTGTGGTGATTAGCATGCGGCAAGCAATTCGAATGCGCGATACGACTTGCAAATCCGTGGGCTGGGAAACGAGCGCGAGAGGAGTGGATTCCTCCTGCCTGGCACGCGCGATGCAGCATTCAGACGCGTCTTTTCGCGTCGCGCATGTGGCACCAGCCACATTCCATTAAACTTGCAGCTTGCCGCGCCACGATGTGGCGCGACGTGGGGCAGCTGTGGCGCCGGCCGGCCGATATCAATCCTGGTGTGGCTTACCTCGGCTCTGGACTCAAGCGTGGGCCAGGGTCGAAGCTGGGGAGACCGACGGCATCCGCCCCAAAGTCACAAGCTCGGTGCTTTGAGCACCTCATTCTGGCTCTTATTCCACAGCCTTTCTCAAACACGCTCTTTCTGGCACCACTGTGTGCGCAACTCAGCAATCATGGCGTCTAGGAGGAATGCGCCATCTACTTCGGCCGAGATCTCGCTCGTTCATCTCAAGAACTGCCTCGTTAATCTGCCACCGACGCTGGTGTCCCTCCTTGTCAACGTCAACACAGTAGGTCTCGACTCAATGGATGGAATTCCGCGCCATACTGATGGGGCATAGCCTGCTCAGAATGTAGTAGTCGAGCTCAGCATCAAATCACCCACGACCGCACAAGCTGGCGCAAGCCCCTCACCTCAGTCGATCTTTGTAGGATGGACGGGTATGCCGAGCAAGCGCAGGACCACGGCGCCTGTGGGAAGAGATGGGATCAATGGGACAAGAGGCTCGTCTAGAGAGCAGGACGGTCAATCCGTCGAGATGGACGCGACCTTGGCTAAAGCGCTTGGCGTCAGCGACGGCCAGAAGGTCATGGCCACAGTTCATGTCGATCCACCGCTGGCGCATACCATCAACATTGAGCCGCTCACCCCCGAGGACTGGGAGATTGTCGAGCTACACGCCACTTTTCTCGAATTGAACCTGCAGTCCCAGATCCGAGCGCTACCGAATCCGGCCTACGCCCCGTCAGAGGGCATTCCCGTGCCAGCTCACACGCTGACGTTGCACCTGTCGCCTACCTCCACAGCCAATATCAAGGTGGTGTCTCTGGACCCGGCACCTGGTGCTGATATACCATTTGCCAAACTGTCGCCCAACGCTGAGGTGATTGTGGCACCAAAGACCAGAGCCAAGACGCCCAGTAGCACAGGAGATCATCGGAGTGTGGCCAGCACGTCCAAGTCGAAACGAAGCGGTGCGAGCACTGTGCGTCGGAGAAGTGCTAGAGAGGAGAAGAAGTCGGCCCTGTTCTTCCGCGGCATTGATCGCGCAGTTGTGCGCGAGTGGTTCGACGAGGATGCGCCAGCTCAGGAGCTCAGTATCTGGGTTGACCAGGATATTGTTCAAACCGGACCGCTGCAGGGTATCAAGTACGGTGTTGTTGATGTGATGAAACCGGGAGGTCTGCAGAAGCCACAAGCCGAAGATGGCACTGCACCAGCCACCACTGTCACAGCGTCACAGGTCATTGCCCACATACGAGCGTGGGAGGACCCTCCAAACGGCCAAACCGCCGCACTCTCTTCCGCGCTGTGCGCAACGCTTGGTTGCTCGGGTCTGGTGGGAGGCGTTGTTAAGCTGCAGCCAGCACCAGCGCAGTTGACGACCAGTACCGTCAAGCAAATCAAGGTGTTCCCCTTTGCCACAACCTCACAAGCCTCAAAGGGTCTGAAATTTGGCGGCGAAACAAAGGCTGAGAAGGAAGAATCTGCCAAAAGATTTCGCAACATTTATGGAGCTACCTCAGGCGCCCCAGGTCTGTTGCAAGGCCCCTTGACCGACGGTGCTGCGCTCGGGATCTTTGAGGGCTTGGACGCCCCAAGCACCTGGGAAGGAGGACTTATCAAATTCGTATTCGACTCGGACAGCGCCAATCAGCCCGACACGAGCAAGGACGCCGTGCATTGGGTTCTGGGGATCGATAACAAGGTCGGCATCGATTTCCAGCCGCCGGTGCCTCGTGCATCCAGCAAATCTGATGGGGACTCGTATGATCTCCATCCTGAAACCGACGCCCTCCTCGTTGGCATCGATTCCTTGCTGCAGAATCTGCAGAAGCAACTTGTGCAAATGTCGTCCCTGCTCCTGACAGGTGGCATGGGGTCGGGAAAGAGCTCTGTGGCGAAATACTTGGCCCAGCAATTACGAGAAGACCACCTTTTTACCACCATATACTATCCCTGCCGCAAACTGGTCACGGACGAGACGAGGATATCGACTATCAAGGAGACTCTGCACCACCTGTTCATGACCGCAACATGGGGTGCCCGTTTAGGCGGGAAAGCCATCGTTGTGCTCGACGATGTCGATAGGCTATGCCCCGCCGAGACCGAGTTGCAGGTCGGCAACGACAACGGGCGCAGCAGACAGGTCAGCGAGATCCTGTGCTCCATGGTGAAACAATACTGCACAAAGAGCAGCGGTGTAGTGCTGCTGGGCACGGCTGAGGGCAAGGACTCTCTGAACAGCGTGGTGGTGAGCGGCCACGTAGTCAGGGACATTGTCGAGCTGTCCGCGCCGAACAAGGAAACACGCAGGCGCGTGATGGAGTCCATCGTGAGCATCGACGCCACGCGGCCGGGCGATGGGTTTGCACAAACGAGCAATTGCAGCCGCCCCACGACGGCCGACGGCAGCAGTGCTACTGGCGACGAGAATGGAGAATGGATGGATGGTGGCAGTCAGTACAATGGCGATTTGCCTCGCAAGAACGCTGGAGGATTCATAATGGAGAGCGACCTCGACTTTTTGGATATTGCTGGCTCGACGGACGGGTACATGCCAGGCGACATTGCCGTGCTTGTGTCGAGGGCGAGAAACGAGGCCATCATGCGTGCCATTGGCAACGATCCCTCGGACGCAAGCAACATGCCCATTCCCTTGGGCCGAATCGACTTTGACAATGCTCTCAAGGGATTCACGCCAGCGTCGCTGCGCAACGTCTCTCTGCAAAGCTCGACAACTACGTTCAAGTCCATCGGCGGCCTGCAAGAGACGCGAAAGATCTTGTTGGAGACTTTGCAATATCCGACAAAATACGCACCCATCTTTGCTCAATGCCCGCTTCGACTGCGGTCCGGTCTGCTGCTGTACGGGTATCCGGGTTGCGGAAAGACTCTGCTCGCGAGCGCTGTGGCTGGCGAATGTGGTCTTAACTTCATCAGTGTGAAGGGCCCCGAGATTCTGAACAAGTACATTGGTGCGTCGGAGAAGAGCGTGCGTGATCTGTTTGATCGCGCCCAGGCGGCGAAACCGTGCGTGCTGTTCTTTGACGAGTTTGATTCCATCGCACCCAAAAGAGGTCATGACTCTACGGGTGTGACAGACCGCGTGGTCAACCAGCTGCTTACCCAGATGGATGGCGCCGAGGGTCTCTCTGGTGTCTATGTCCTCGCCGCGACTTCGCGACCCGACCTAATCGATCCTGCGTTACTACGTCCCGGCCGACTTGACAAGTCGTTGCTATGCGATCTGCCCGAGGTCGAGGACAGGCTGGACATTCTCAAGGCTCTGTTGCAAAAGGTGCGGCTATCGGATGAGCTGGTTCACTCTGATGACGTGCTCCTCGACATTGCGCATCAGACTGAGGGTTACTCGGGTGCCGATCTACAAGCGTTGGTCTCCAACTCGCAGCTAGAAGCCATCCACGACGTTCTCGACGTCAACGATCATGTCACGACTACCACGAAGCGACCAAATGGAATGACGAATGGACAGACAACCAAGGCAGCCCCAGGTTTCGTCCAGTTCCGCTACGGTGAGACGGCAAAGCCCGTAGACGATAGCGCGCCCAAGAGCGCAGCCGCCGCGCTCGTGGAAAAGGCTGCCATCGTGTCCAAGCTGGAGGAGATCAAACTGGCCCGTCGTAGAGCCAGGGAAACTCAGCGAGGAGCAGCGTCTGGGGGACCCGGTGTCGACAGCAAGAGTGACGCTGCCGACAAGGAGGTTGTGATCTGCCGCGAGCACCTCGAGAGGGCTCTGGATGCCACGAGAGCCAGCATCAGCAGCGACGAAAAGGCACGGCTGCGCAGGATCTACCACGAGTTCGTTGTGGGGCGTAGCGGACAGATGAAGGACGGACAGGCCAGCATGGAGATTGGGGGCAGGAGTAGCTTGATGTGATTGCAAATACCACCAGCATTTTAACTACACGTTTGTCTGAGCACTGGTAGACGCGTGGCAGCAAACATGAAGACAAGGTCGTACTGTATCGTCTGTACGGACTACGGACTGGAGTCACGAGGATGACTGGACGCCGCTAACTTGCTAAGGAATAAGCATAAGGTATCCGTACCTCCGGGAGTACGTACCTTCCGTCGTAGGGCTGTGGGCCTGTGCCCAGACATCACTCAATGGCGGCAGGGATCGATTACCAGTCACCAGTTCATAGCAGTGCAGGAACTGGCGCCCGGGTCGCCGCTTCCTTGGCTGCAGGCCTGCGGCTGCTGCTGCTGCTGCTGTCGATCATCGAGAATTCGGGTGGCAGGTGGGATAAGCGGCGAGCCTCAGCTCCTTCCTTGTCCTTTTTTTCCCCTTCTCCTCTTTCTGCGTCTCCCACGCCGCCAAACCTCAACCGCCTCTTGTCTTGAATGATTATTCTCTACTGTTAGCGTTGCTGCGTTCGCTCGTTGCTCTCTGTGTGTGTTTGTGCGTGCGTGCGCTGTCTTGCTTGGAAACGATTGCCATGATGCCATGAATTTACGACCTGAACGACACCCGCTAGTTAATTCACCACCAGTTCCCACCACACAATGGCCACTACCCGAGACTGGCACCCGCTCTCCGCATTCCGGGAAATGGCCCATGGTAGTGGTGGCATGAACTCATCCACCACATTGCCGGCTTTCCATTACGACTATGATGTCGACGACGCGCACCCCGATCGCAGCGACACACCGGATGCTTGGGCCAAATATCTTCGCACTCGCATCTCCCGTCGCAAACAGCTCTACCACAGCCTCGATCCCTCTGACCAGGACCTGATTCGCAAAGAAGTTCGGAGAATCAGCTACTTCAGGGACCATTTCAAGGACTATCGCGTATTCCCGACAGATGGGCTCCCGTTGGTCGCCTTGCTAGATGACTCCCGCCAGAAGTGGCGGGACATTGCCGCCAAGAGAGCAACGGAAGAGTTGGCCAAGGTCCAGCGGCAGACCGAAAAGTCTGGCGAGACGGTGGCGACGACCCGTAACAGAAAAGTGCTGAGGTATGTCCAGCAATGGCAGACGCCTGGCTACAAGGATGCCCAAAAGGCCCTCTACCCTGAAGCCTACATGCCCGACCTGGACGCCGGACCAGATAACAGCGAGGACGACCCGAAGCGCGAGGACTATGGGTACCACGGCTGGGTCATCCTCTGGGACGAGGAGAAGGGATGGGCCTCCATGGACCACCCGCTGGTGCATGGCTCTTTTCCTCACCAGAAGATCTCCATCCAGCAGTTTCTCTACAACAAGGACAGCACGCCCCTCAAGCGATCAGATCGCAAGGACCAGTTCCGGTACTTTCACCTCCCCGCCAACAACATGAAATGGGTGGAACAGGCGATGAGCAGGTACTACGGCGAGGACAACGTCGAGTTTGACGGCATGAAGGCCCTGAACATGAAGCACAACTCACAACGGCTCCTGCGGCCAGAGCTCTGGCGAGGCCAGCAGCGTGGTGGTTATGGACTGCCCGCCCACTCGCGGCAGATAGGGCCGCGTTGCTCCATGGTTCCCTCTGCGCCTCTCGGACCCAAGGGCGGACTCGAACAGGACGGCTGTGTGCGGAGAGATTTCACACTCTTCGTAGGTCAAGATCCTGGCGCACCAGCAGAATGAGTAGCTAATGTCCACAGATGCCCTTCTTGCACTTTGAAGTTGAGAAGAGACTCCACCGCATGGGCCAGTTCATGCAGGTGGCCAAGTCGCAGAACGAGAAGCTGCGCAGGGCCAACACGTTCCGGCAGCGAGGCCGCATGGCCAGCGTCGCCAACAACAAGATCAAGAAGAGCCACGGTCATGTCGCCAGCTTTGAGCCCGAGAAGAGACGCTTCACTGAGGCATGGAGACCGCGGAACGCACTGGCCAAGTACTTCTGGCACGTGGCCAAGATACACCAAATCATTGACGAGGCAGCCGACGGGCGCCTCATCGAGGATCACCTGTACGCCACGCCTCCCCTGCACCCTCGCAGGACACTGGAGCAGTTCTACTACTGGACTGCCGAGGACACCAGTCGGCGAGATCGTGACCAGGTTGTGGCACGCGGCACGCGGTACTATAGCGAGGAACACAGCGCTGAAGCCTCAACCCGCCTCATCATGGTCGACCAGTTGTGGCTGTGGATTCTGGATGACAGTATGCCCATGTTTTCAATCTTGCATCTGCACAGCCCAAAATGACTGACTTGTTGTCGCAGATACCGTGATATCGGCGTTCCCCCGACGCTGGGGACGCAACAAGCCCGACCCGTCGGCTGTGCATCGCAGCATCCGTGATCGGCTTGGGGGACTGGACGCTGGCGAGATCCAGTCAGTCTACGACCTTGCGCTCGTCGTCGTCGACGAGTGCTCCAAGGTCTTCTTCGACCCTTCGAAGCTGCTTGATCACCGGCCCGAATTGCTAGACCTTTTCAGCTCGGCCATCTCCAAGATCGCCGAGAACAAGACCATTGCGTACGAGGGCTTTGGGCTTGATCTGAGCAAGATCAGCAGCGAGACGATTGAATCAGCAGAGAGGCTGGTTCGCAAGTCGTTGAACATTAGTTTCGAATGGTCCATCCTGGAGGAGGCCCAGCACGTGCTGGATGAGCTACAGATTATGCAGGAGATTTTCAACACGCAAATCCTCGTACTGAGAGATCTGGATCGCAACTTGCAAGAGCTTCTCAGCGTCGAAATGCCAAATCCAACAATGGTGGCGCAGTCTGGACGGGATTCTGTTGCCACAAAGATCCGTGAGGGTTGGCAGAATGCACGGGACAGGATCGTGTCACTCACCTCAGACATGGAGCAGCGACGGGGCGAGCTGGCCGAGATGGAGAAGCTCCAGACGAAGACACGCTCACAGGTCAGTTTCATTTGCCGTGCTCGTGATATTTGCCATCTGGATAGTAAACTAACATGTCTCATGACAGCTGCGCGACCTCGTTGATATGAAGCAGCAGCAGGCCAACATTATCGAAGCCAAGGCCGCTATTCGTCGAGCGGATGAGTCGGTAATACAGGGCCGATCCATTGTGATCTTCACAGTGGTGACGATTATATTTGTGAGTGCGCTCACAAACTTCTGGTGACTCGTCGCCTGCTGACCACGGCAGCTCCCTTTGCAATTTATGACATCCATCTTTGGCATGAACGCAAGGCAATTCAGCAATGACGGTGAAATGGACCTCATGCCACAGCTCAAATGGATGTGTAAGCAGAACGCCGCGTAAAGAAGAAAAGACAAGGCTAACCAGTGACCACAGTCGGCGTGAGCAGTGTTGTCATTGTCGTGTCGCTATCTCTCGCATTTAGTACCTGGATACGCACGGCGCTGGCGGTGGGATGGACCTTTGTCTACACGTACATTGAAGAACGGCTGGGCCTGCGCTCAAAGAAGGCCCGCTACAGCACGAGCGCCTTCAAGAGCAAGCAGCACGAGCGTCTCCGAGAGCTCGAGACGCGGGATCAGCAGAGACGTCTCACTGAGATCAACAGTCGCAGGATGACCTCGCCGAGACGGCAGCAGCAGCAGCAGCAGAGGGAGAAGAGGTCGACGTGGGATGTACGAAACCTGAAGCCGACATCGGGGCTGTTCCGGTGGAAGCGAGACACGCCCAAGGACAATCACGACGCTGTCTGACAGGCCTAGAATGGTGTAGTCCTTGTGGGACGACGTGGATGAATCTATAGAGAGATGTAGAGCAAGTAGATGCTGAGCAATATGCGGTATATACAACGCGAAGAGCAGAATGCCGGACGCCCTCTGGCCCCATGCCCCAAGTACAATGTAGTCAGTTTAGTTGCCTTTCTTACGCCTCACCTATGATCGCCTTGACATCTCGCAGTAGCTGCGCGTGGACACCCTCCCTGGCGACAATCATGCCTCGGTTCGCGTCCATCTTGCGGCCGGCGCCAAAGTCCATGGCCCGCCCGTCCAGGTCCGTGATGCGGCCGCCCATCTCGGTGAAGATGAGCTGGGCCCCGGCATGGTCCCATATGCACACGTTGCTGACCTTGTCCGGCCGGGGCACGCGGATCTGGCAGTCGGCGCCGCCCAGGATCAGGCTGGCGTACCGCATGTGCGACGACCAGACCTCTGTCCCCGGATACCGCGCCCCGAGCTGCTGCGCCAGCTGCTCGACAACGTCGTGCCGCACGGCGGTGCTGGCGCGCGCGTCGACAATGTGCAGGTCGGACAGGCGCGCGGGTGTGGTGAGCCTCGCGAGCGGCTGGGCCTCGGGCAGCGGGTAGGGCGTGGACTCGGGCGACGCAGAGAGGTAGCGCACCGTGGCGCCCTGGCCCCGGACAGCCGTGAGCATGACGCCGAGGCCGTCCCTGTCGACGCTCCTCTCGACGACGCGGCCGTCCTGCAGCCGCAGGTTGGGGCAGCACAGCACGCCCACCACCTCGCGCCCGTCCTCGATCAGGCTGAGCGAGACGGCGTACTGGTGCTGCTCGAGGAACGTCCTCGTGCCGTCGACGGGGTCCATGACCCAGAACCGCCCATGCTTGCCGCCCTGGCCCCGTCCGCCCAGGTCGATGAGCGCGAGCATCTCCTCCTCCGTCTGGGGCGTCGCCAGCTTCGTCGTCGCCCCGTCGGCCATGCTTCGCACGTGCTCAAAGACGGTCCGCCGCAGCGCGTCGTGAGACCGCAAATCCGCTGCGTCCTCCTCGCCGACGAAGCCGTCGCCTGGGAACCGTTGCCGCAGACTGGCGATGAGGAGGGCCTGTGCGGCAAAGTCGGCGGTCGTGACGGGGGAGAAGTCGTCCTTTGTCATGGACTGCACCTTGGCCTGGACCCTTTTGGTAAGGATGGCGGCGCGGAGGGCTGTGGCCTCCGCAAAGGCCCGTTCCTCTGCGTAAGGCACTGTTGTCATCGTGGTGTGGATTCTGGCGCTGCTGACGGTGTTGGAGAGAGATGGTGTGTTGGCGTAGGGAGCTTCATCAATCGTCAGTGAGGTGTCACCTGTGGTCGTATCGTAGTCTTGGTGCAAGCGTGATGATGGAGGATAGAAACGACTTGTTAGCCGCGCCCTATCCTATGTACTCGTACTAGAGGCCTCGTCCCAGGTCAGCGCGCGATCGAGGGAGGAGGTGAAGATTTTTGGCGGGTGGCTATGCCGCAGCGAGGCAGATTTATTTACGATTGTGAACAGCAGCACAGAACCTCGTGAGATTTAACTTGTTAATTGAATCAATAGCAGTCCCGTCTCAGCTCAGCTCATGACACAGCCTCACGTGCGCCGCCTTTCCTCCATGGGTCCCTCTGATCCATCTCCATTCCCAAGCATACGCATACGCATACATGCGGAAATTGTCAGCCGCCAGGTCATCAGAGCAATGAAACACTGAATCATGAGCTTCTCAAGGAAGCCAGCAGCGCCGAGGCGCAAGGCAGTGAGACTGACTGTCTGACTGTCTGCCTGCCTGACTCGTACACACATGGGGAACATTTGCTATGAGGAATCACTCGAGTGTCATGCCCACATTGACAAGTAGTCCCATTATTTCGACACGATAGATGCCTCTACGCATCGACTCCCCATTCGGCAACATATATGTGTAAACCATTGCTGAGTTCGCCCTACACGGGCTTCGCTGAGGGCTGGCCTTCTTCTTCCAGCCCACGTCAGCTTTAGAATCTCTCTCCCTCCCATCTTTGCTCGGGGGAGATATAAACACAAAGCGCGCGATTTTTCTAGTAACTCCCACTCGTGTGTGTTTCCATGACCATGCAATTCTGGTGGGTATGCTTTCTCATACGTCTCCGCCGCCAAGTACAACAAGAACGGAAGCTCTTGTATCCCATAAACGCCCGGGCAATGCACAATGATGATGAATGGCCAAGAATGAGAAGAGCTGTAAACAAACTCCACAAAACTCCTGTGGGCAGGCAGAGAGACATGCTCAGGCGGCTGCCGCAGACGTCGTGGCTTCGCCTCCTCCCCCTCCCCCTCCTCCTCCTCCTCCTCCTCTCTTGCGGGAGCAAAGACTCTCATACATCTTGCTCAGTCGTTCGCCGCTAATCTGTTTCGTTGTCTCAACTGGCCATCGCTTGGCCAAAAAATCCCTAGTATTGTCGTTAGTCACAGCCCCCATATCAGTGCTTAGGGTATCCTTACCAAAACCGCTTCTGCAACGAGGCGTCGCTTGAAGCATTGCTATTGTTCAAAAAGTCGCCGATGCGTTCAAGCTCGTCACCGTAGATGGCTGCGCGTTCCTTACCCGACTTGACAGTCTCCTTGGTAGTGGACAAGATCCTCTCAAAGTTCTCGCGGACCGGCTTCAGGAGGAACCATATCAGGGCGTCGTTGTTCTCGTTTCTAGCGTTCGCATCGTCGCCTATCACCCGAAGCTTGTCTAGGTGGGCAAGCGCCCCGTTAGACGGGTTGCTGCGGGCACGCTCTGGCTGGCCATGACCTCCAGACTCCCGGCGACGATGGGACTCGTATCGGTCATCACGAGACCTGTCCTCCCTGCCCCGGTCCTCACGACGCCGGTCGTCACGTCGGCGTTCGTCACGGTAACGGTCATCGTGGTGTCGGTCAGGCCTGTGACGGTCGTCGTGGAGACGGTCCTCGCGGCGCCTGTCATCGCGATGCCGCTCCACACGCTGTCTGTCGTCCCTGTGCCTGTCCTGGCGGTAACGGTCTTCGCGATGGCGGTCATCACGGGACCTGTCCTCACGGCGATGGTGGTCGTCATCCCTGTGACGACCTCTGTCACGATCCGCTCGTCGGTCGTCCCGACGATCGTCTCGGCGGTAATCATCCTCGTCGCGGTGACGCCGCTTCTCCAGGCGGTCACGGTCCTCGTGCTTGCTGGATCGCCGCTGTTCATCCAAGCGCCGATGCTTCGGGCTACGTCCGCCCTCAAGATTCGCATGCTTCCGCTTCGACTCGGGGCGCGGTGTCCCGTTCTCGTCCTGGTGGCTGCGGGCTCTGTGCAGCTCAGGTTCTCTCTTCCTAATGGAGCCGCTGTTAGGCGCTGGCGAGCCGCTCGAGCCGTGACGTTGTCCATTGCCCAGATGTCCCTTCTTGTTGTTGCGGTGGTGGTTCTCGACCTTGCTCAACAGGTTCTTGTCCGACGAGTGCTTGGCTTGCAGTACGGACAGCAGATACTCAGCACGGCGCACCAGATGCACGGCTCCTGGAGCCTTCTGCTTGTCCTTGGCCTTGCTTCGCTCCTCTTTGCGCGCAATACGGCCCTCCTCCAGGAAGAGTTTGTCCTGCAACCCGAGATCGGGATCGTCGCGAATCCGTACCCACGAGCCGAAGCCATGTCGGTCGATCCCGACGAGAAGCATGCCGTCTTCTTTCGCACCCCAAGGGCAACTATAGCTTGCGCCTTTGGTCGCATCGGGAAGTCGGAAGGATTTCCACTCGGGAGCAGCAGCTACTGCCTCGCGCAACAATTGCAGTTGGATGGGCCTGTCAATGGCCGTCTCCGCATTGACTTTCTTGAGTTCGCCAAAGTCGATCAAGACGGCCTTGCGGTCTTTCTTGTTGAGAGCCCTGCCTGCCTTCATCTCTTCCTCGGCCATCTTCGAATTGTTGTCTTCCACAGCTTCCCGCGCGCGACTGACAAAGTCACCCAACATGGTCTTCACCAAATCGGGATCCCTGTCGCCAAGTTTCGCGTCGGATATAATGTCATCAGCTCTGTGTTCTATAGACCCAAACTTGAAGTAAGCCTTGATCAGGACACGCTGCTCGGAGACGTCGAGCGGCCGCTTTGGGTCGGCCTTTTGCAAACGCTTCTCGGCCTCTTCTGCCTCCTGCTCTTGCTGTCGCTTCTTCAGACGATCAGCGCGGTCAGTCTCCTTGTTGCGGTGCTTGATGGTGGCTCTGCGCGGTGCGCTTTCTGCCGCGAGCTTCGCGAGATACTCCTCGTTCTGCTTCTTCTCCTCGTCGGCCTTAATCTCAGCGAGTTTGTCGGCAGGGATGATCTGGTCCCAGTCCAGGTTGATGTCGTCGACCTTGACATCCGTGATTTGCATAAAGTTGTCCCAGTCAATGCCTCCGCTGCTGAGGTTGATCTTGTCGTCTACTTTAGTCTTGGTAACCTCAGCATTCTCTAGAATGGAATCAATGTCAAGCTGCTCCAGTCGCTCCTGGTTGCCCGACTGCTCGAACATCTTGGAGGAGCGCATCTTGAGGACCATTTGGATGTCTTCGTTCGACGTGGGCCCGTCCGTCTTGAGGCCCTTCTTGTTTAGCTCATTCTGCATCATGGCTTTCCCGTCATCGGTGACACCTGCTTGGATCGTCAGGTATTCAAGTAGAAGCTTGTTTCGCGCCCGCTCGAGGACTTCCTCCTCAACTGTCTCCTTGCTGACCAGTCGGTATATGTTGACAGGCCGCTTCTGGCCAATGCGGTGAGCGCGTGCCATGGCCTGCAAATCGGCTTGGGGATTCCAATCGGAGTCAAAAATGACCACGGTATCTGCCGTCATCAGGTTGATACCCAAACCACCCGCTCGAGTAGACAGCAAAAAGCAGAAATCCTCGCTGTCGTCGGCGTTGAAATGGTTGATCGCCATGCGACGAGGACCTGCAGCAATGGTGCCGTCCAGCCGCTGGAATTTGTAACCACGCAGAGACATGTAGTCGCCTAGAATGTCCAGCATACGCACCATCTGGCTGAAAATGAGGACGCGATGCCCATCCTTCTTCAACTTTGACAACAGCTGGTCCAGGAGCATCATCTTGCCGCTGCTTGCAATCAGGCCTTTGATCTGGTCTTCGCGGCGTGTGCTGCCCGCTAGCACCCTTTCCTCAGCACCTGCAAACATGTAAGGATGGTTGCTGACTTTCTTCAGCTCCATCATAATGTTGAGCAAGGAGTTCTTGTGACCATTGTTAGCCGTGGACAGGGCAGCGTAGTTCCTGGTAATGATGTTCTTATAGTAGTCAAGTTGGACATCGGACAATTCCACACGAATGATCTTTTCAGTTTTCGGTGGGAGGTCGGACTCGACTGTCTCTTTTGTTCGGCGGATGATGTAAGGTGCAATGGCACTATGCAGGTCTTGCAGCTTCTCCTGAGCATCGGCGGCTGACAGGGAGTCAAGATCCTCATCAATGTCCACTTTGCCGGGGTTGAGGAAGTCGAGAAGCGCTGAGAGCTCCGCCAGATTGTTCTGGATTGGTGTACCGGTGATCAAAATCTTGCAAGGGACGCCAAAACCCACCAAGCGACTGTACAGCTGGGATTCGCGGTTCTTGAGACGATGTGCCTCGTCAACAGCGAGCGTCTGCCATTTGATGGAGGAGAGGAATTGCCAATCTTGCAAGATGAATTCGTAAGAGGTGACCAACACGTTGAACTTTGGTTTCTTTGGGTTACCGTCCACAAGGAGCTCATTCTCTCGAATGATCTTCCTGGCATCTTCCGGACCAAGATAGACAACATAGTTGATGTCGGGGGACCAGTGGTTGAATGTATCGCACCAGGCAGGGATGACACTGAGTGGCGCGACAACGAGTGAAGGGCCCTCTTGTCGTCGGTCATTGCGAAGCCAGCTGAGGAAGGAGACGGTCTGCACCGTTTTACCCAAGCCCATCTCGTCGGCAAGGATGACATTGTTGCCTCTGGTCCAGTTCAGGCACAGGAAGTTCAAACCTTTCAGTTGGAACGATCGAAGCTCGCCGCCCTGGATGTAACTAGGTTGCTCCTCGAGTTTTGTCATCCTGGAACGGGTTTGCAGGCTGGTCTCCTTCTTGTCAGACTGCCAGCTGCGCGAGGCGCGGTCAAGGTACTGGTCGATCTTGTCTTGGAACATTGGACTGATCAAAGATGCCTCTTCCCATGTACACATGTCGTAAGATAACCCTTTCCACTTGATAAAGTACTCGGTATCATCCTCGCCATCGCGGATGCCTACGACTCTTTCCACTTTCGTGTAGTCTTCGAAGGCTTCCTCGTCACGCTCACGGTCAAGAAAGAATTGTTCCTTTGTCTCGGGCGGGATGTCGTCCCCGAACCGCATCTCGAGTTCGATATCGACCGTTTTCCGGAAATAGTTCTCGACCCTCCGGACGCCTCGAACGAACTTGAGGGAGTCGGTGGTTTCCCATGTGTCGTGCAAATGTGATTTGCCTTGCCATTTGATGTAGTACTCAAAGTCGTGCCGTTGCAAATCGTACGCAAGCTCGATACCGTCCTTGACCCGGTGCTTGAC